TAGAATGAAATTAAGAAAAAATTTTCTATGCAGTCGCGGATCGGAGCTCAAAATTATTTTTTTTATCGCCGTTAATCATTGCCAAAATTTTATCTATACGAATGAAATGGAGATGTCTTCTACCTAACCTGAAAGGTTTCCTGCGAGTAAAAGTACTGACGCAGTGATTCATCGATATTGTACAACATCAACACTCTTTTTATCAACTTTATGTCAGTTTTCATGCCACAGAAGGTAACTGAAAATTCCATGGTAATGAAATCTCAAATTTTAAACGACTAAAGACACCAAGATATACTACTCGCATACAAGATAGTATCGGATTCAGATCTAAATTAGCATCGGAACGGCTCTTGAACGATTGTTTCGAATATCGTAATTACCCCGTTTGTTGTTGCATGGTTGATCACGACTGAGCTTGAATTACCGCAAAATATAAAACAGATAGAAGAAGTATAATCCGACCTTATTCAAAACATATATGAGAAGTTTCATCTCTCAGGTCAATGGCTTGTTACAGTAGCATCCTAAAAGAAACCTCTTTGCAGTACGAGGCTTGGAGCAGGATATCGCCATATGATTTCTACTTTTTCATTGACTACAACGATTAGAAATAAATTGTTTCACTTTATTCGAACTATATGCATTATTCAGTAACTCCCAATCAACTTCTGTCACTGTCAACGGCTGAAATATTCTGCTGCTGTGCATTTCGATTGTCAAACCTCCTCTCCTGGCGAGATGTTTTTCGGGAAAGTTTTTGTCATTAATGTGAAACGGGAAACACAAAAACATCGGATGATCGCCGTCGTATCATTGGCACAGGTTTCAATGAATTCTGGCCGCACATGTAGTTACTAAGCGTTATTGTACCGGTGGGAAATTAAAGGGAGCGGGTAATTCGTACACCGTAACACTTATATTCAGTCTTCAATGGGGATCGAAATTATGCAAACGAACCAAATGGAAATTGAGACTCATAAGAAACTTAAAACTGAGATCTGTGAAGGTCGAACACACGGATTTTATCCACAGATGAGGTAATAAACGTGAACTCTCCAATAAACTAAATTCCATTTCTCGTTAGCGGTGCGGTAATTCCCGCGGACATTTCACATTTTTGTTATAAAAATTTCACCCGGGGCTTTGTGCAGGTGACCGAAGAGATCGAGAAAACTGACGTCAGAACAGCTTTGACTATAAGTTGGACCGTAAATACCACTATGATTGACGAATAGCGCGCACTTTGGTCGTCCAAATATCTTTAGTCCTCTTGCAATTAAGCTGTCCCTTCCCTCCCCTCCCCCCCCTCAATTAAGACTCACTAGGCTAAGAATCCGACCTAAAATTGAATGACGTAAACCAAGTATACTTGGAATCATCGGAATACAACCATATGATACATACATAGACTGACTAGACGAACTAATCTTGGAAGTGAAGATGTGATTTCAAGCACTAAGAACAACAAGGTGGCTGCTGAGGCGACTGCGGTTAAATCAAGGGTTTCAATAAAAGCCGGTTACGGACTGTCTATACCTCTACCCATAAGACCTCTTACCGCCGTCTCTTTAGTCTGCGAGCAGGCTCTAGTGTTGGGTTTCGCTTTAATGCACAGCCGTCTATGACACCGTAGGCAGACGCTTATGGAAAAAAATTACTGAAATACCCGGTTAAAAAATGGTAAAAAATAAACGTTCATTTAAGATGCATAAAAGTTTAGTAGGTGCCATTTATCATGGCGATATACAGTCCCTGTCAGTGAACTGAGATATCGACTTTAGTTTTAAAATTGTTATGTAACAATTGGTTCATACGTCAGCTGTGCGTTCATCGAGATATGAAGCACGCGGGAAGTTTAGAGAGCACTCAAAAAGCTAGAGTTGCTCTCGGCTACGCCTCGAGCATTTTCAACTCGATGGAAAATTTTTTTTCTCGAGGGATTTGTGTGCACAATAGGAATATGAAGCACGCTCGCGCAATTGAATTTGATTAGACAAATTTATTAGCTATGTTATAAATATAGTTACTCTGGTAAATAGTAGTGTCTCCTACCTATTGGCAAATAAATTGCCACAGAGAAACGAGAAAAGGATCCATACCACCCATGGTGGCATTCAACGGGTGTTCACTGAAAGTCGAGTCAAGTTAATCGAAATTCAACTCACAGAAAAGCATTACTGTAACAAGTGTTAAAATAATTTGCAATTTAAATTTCACCGCCATGCAGCATGATAAAATGTATTTATCAAAATAAGCAGAATTGGTTTTTCCGCTTCTTTATATTATAGAGAGAGGAAGAAGGAAGAGGAGAAGGAGGAAGAAAAATTATTCGTAACAATTTTGAGTGAGGAAATTGAGACACCCAAAATATGCGTATAATAAGTGCAATGAAAGAACACAAAGGCTCACTGAGAGGAGATCTTATCGAAAATAATAAAAAAAATTCAAGTTGTTAACTGGATAAGTAACATTTCATTTTCTGGAGATCAAATTGCACTTCGAAGAGAAATAGATATAGACAAAACAATTTATCGAAAGATGCAGTTTTTGAATATTTTGCCCTCAAGAAAATATGTGAAAATCGTTAACACCGGAGAGGAAATTTCATAGATAAGAGATTATCGCAGTCACGGCTTAAAAAGTTTGGAATATAGAACCCTAACAAACAATAAAAAGACTTGAAAACAACTTCCCTTTGCACATCTACTTTAGCTGGGTACTTTGCTGAAATGTTGTTTCGTCCATTAGCCGGTTAGTCTTCGGTCGGTCAAATGAGTTCCGTTCAGTCGAAACTTGTCTTAAAAGAAACCGTCACTTCAGTTTAAATCTCTTCATGAAAGGAAAGCTTTTCCTAAGGACATTAAAGAATCGGTGGCGGCTAAGTGACTTCATCGCTAAAAACGTGATTAATGTCGCAGGGAATTTTCCTCAACACCTGCTTTTCTCCTTTGAACCTAAAAAGACATCTTTTGTGCCATTTAATTAGTCCATCAAAATGAGTGGCTCGTGACCAATATTAAATTTTTCCTTTCACGATACACTTACCGGCTCTAAATTCTTGTATTCCAGCACTACTTCAGTCCATCATCCAAGCGATAGCCACTTAAAGCATATATGTATTCTTGAGGATCAGTAAGCTCACTGACAGGGAGCGTGTAAATTCTTAAATGCTTCTTCTAAATGACAGTGTGCGTGCCCATAACCAAACAGATCAGTAGACACATCCTACGCCACAGACTATAGGTTTACACCTGTTATGTTAGTAACGTCTCGAACTTTCTCGTTAATCAAGATATAACAAAATGGAAACGTGGCACCGACGAACCACAATTGCTGTCCTTCGTTTTTAGAATCGTTACAAATTGTGAGAAGTTATAAAATATTAATCCTTTAATTGAACGTTACATTAAGACAAATTTGCCCCACTGGTCGAACAACATGCATTGTAAACGACTGAGCACTAAAAGCATTGCAACAAGTCACAGCCAGGTGCTAAAGCTACCTCCAATAATTTATTTTTAACGGTTCAGGCACTGCGGTAATGCAAACAACAGCGCAGTTATCATAACAATACGTTCGACAGACAGCTAAAGGTAATGAAAATTCCAAATATTGTGGTTGCTAAGAGGAGAAATTGCTTAAGGGGTTTCTGTTCGTTACAACACCTTACTAGTGCTACAGTAGAAGCTCACTTTGACTCGTTGATACGACTTTGTTGGGTTGCTTAAGAGTTGAATGTCCAGTATTTAATTTAAAACCATGTTGAATTAAACAGCTAGTCCTTTACAGTACGAGGCCAACTCTACAACTTTTCAGAAGTAAACAGATCATGCTGGCAATTTAAGTTACCATATCACACAAAACAAACAATAGTAGATATCTTTAGGAGCCTTCAGTTTGTTTGGACAGTTGAAACTGTCATAGATTTTCTGGAACCTTCTAACAATAATTTACTAGGGTCAGACGTGGACACCAAAGGGACAAGAATAAACAAAAAGGAACAGAAATGACTCAGAATGAAGAAGATTAACGTGAATTACAAATGAAGAAAACTCAGGCTAGATTTTGCAAAACGTAGAAAACCTTGATACATCGACGTAGCTCACTTAATGCCCTGTTATCTCGGACACTCATCACTAGTCCTCAAGATTTCTGCGATAACGGATCTCAAACCAAGGATCAACATATAAACGACACAGCACTGTGTCGCATACGTATCCGAATTGAAATGCGAGAAGTCATTCGTGCTGCTGGGATTAAATTTCTTCCTCTGTAAATGGCACTTTTGGCAGATTAAACTGCTACAGTTTAAAGAAAAAAAATAATTTCTTCCTTGTTTCAAGGTGAATTTCAAATTTTGCATTTTCTGCGACGCGTTTTTGTCAGGTTTTTGTGGCTGTCATGTCCACAAATGTTATTTCCGCGTTTAATTTTTTCTTTACCACCCATTTATACAATGAAACAGGTGCTGGGAGAATAATGGGGTTTTCCTCAAAACACATGACATTGAAGAAATGTGAAATGGTTTCCGTGTTTACATAGGCTGATGTAAACACTTGGGAGGTTGGGAGAACACTCGATAAGCTGGAAACCACTCCGCTTCGCGTCGTGGTTTCCTACGCTTATCTCGTGTTCTCCCAACCTCCCGCGTGTTTACATCAGGCTATGTAAACACGGAAACCATTTTACATTTCTTTTATAAAATAACTAATGAAAGAGGAATGAAAACCGTGTTTACATATGCTCATGTAAAATGGTTTTATGGCCAATCAGAGCGCGCGTACTATTTGAATTATTTTATAAAACACTATACGAAATTACATTAAATATCACGGCATGGTACAACACCACAAAAGTTCATTAAACAGCAGCAAAGATCTTGAACTCCTACTAGTCATTGGACGGGGGAATGCTAATGATGGGTGTCAATCTGAAACAACTCGGTTTCCTGAATAATACTTATATCGTGATGTTTTACTTTCAAATGGCAAGCCCCATTAAATTCGTCTAATAAATATTTTATTCTTCTCGGTCTAAATTACCAAGCAATCGTGGGGCTAAGTTAGGTGGTAATTTACAATCTTTAAATTAGCCCATCGAAGAAAAGTTCAACACTTAATTCATTACTTTCACCATAGGATTATTCAAAACTAAAAATACCTTCTACACATTTAGGATTGAAATAATTACATAGAAACTCTATTTCTACAGAGCAACGCGATAATCCGATATGTTAAGACATTTTGAAAATTCGTCTGCTTCCCATTTTCTTCTGCCGAGGTTGTTCCATTTCTCTCTATTCAAACACTATCCGACTGACCAGAACCTCAATCTTTTCCTCCTATTTCACCTTTCAGTTTTAGGAAGTGAATTGATAAACTTCAAAATCAATTTCGCTGATTTCCATGGTCTTTCCAAAGTAATGGCATGACCACAACTGCTCATTATCTCAACCTGACAGTTCTTTACTTTTTCTCTGATGATATCCACTGCAGACACATCAAGGATCTGAAGAATAAAATATTTACATCCATCCTTAGCCAAAACGTCACTTGAAAGAATCGCAGAATGTGCAACTAATTCTTACATCTTTGGATCACAAATTCATCGGAGCACAAATCAGTTCTGATTGAATTTTGTAACAACAAAACAAAATTATTCAAAACAGTTAATCAGCACTCTAAATCTCTAGGTAATAGAAGTGAGAAGCCCGAGAGATGCGAGTAAAAGGAAGAGAAAGGCCAGCGATTGGTTGAAGGTTCACAACTGATTTTTGAGTGGTTGGACCGACCAAGCTTTCAGCCAATCATAGAGCGGGGTCAAGAGATGATTACTTTCGACACTAAAACAAAAACTGCTCTTTGCTGGGTACCTCGGCGTCAGCTGAATGCGAGTTTCGAGTTGTTATGAAATAAACAACAATGTTAAAAACGGGAAATAAAAATAAAGGTAAGCACAACAAAACTATCTTCATTTAAATATTTCCAAAAATTAGTTAAATACCAAACAAGATAGCTAATGTGTAACGCTTCTCTTTCTGCGATAAGTTGGGAGAAAAGTCGAGCACCCATTGTTCGAGACCTGAAGTGTAAGGAGAGCAGGCCAAGAAAGAAGAGTCACATCACGATAAACTGTATCAACACTGTCTTCTGTACTTTGATCATTTAAATTCATTCGTTCTAAAGTTAGAACCTAAAAAGGGGTTTATTGTAGAAACTTTAAAATAGACACCGAGAAAATTCCCGCGATACTCTCAGTGGACAGATACTAATGGGTCCTTACAGGAAAACCTTCACCCGCAAAATCTAGTGTGTCAAATGGGAAAATGACACATCAGTTTCGAAAAGGTCAAGATGCTGTAGGTTTGTACATGTTCTAAATTATTAGCCATAAGTACCCACAAATCGCTTTTGAAATGTCCTCCGACGGCCCTCTAGTGGCTGAATTGAAATGGTTTATTTAGTGACTGTGTTGCGCTAATTTGTTACTGACCAGGTCATTACTGCCCCACAACGTAAGGGTCGGAACATCAATGTTCTCCAGAACATCCTGTAGAAGATATCTTTGGTCAGGCCGAACTATTTCAGTCAAAACTGTAAAATAAGAACAAAAAGTGACAAAAAATTATACCCAATATGTCCAGTGTTATCCTATATGCATATTTGGTAAATGTTGTGGTTTTCTGTATTTAACCCTTTACAGCCTAACATCAGTATGCATATTCTCCATACTTTTATCTTAGCATTTCCTAGGGTGCTGACGAGGAGAATTTGTTTAACAATCAAGAGCCTCTTTAGTTGTTGATCATTCCTTTATTCTTTTGATCTTAAATTAATGATTCAGCAGTATTATTGTTAGGAGAAACCAGATGCTGGTCACTCTTAAGGTTTACAAGGTTAAGAAGAGAGAGAGGAAGATGATAAAAGAAATGAGGTTCCTTTTAAAAATGTATTTCTGTATGTGATAGAAATTGTGAATAACAACTTACAGTAACCTTAATAATTATTTACTAATCATAGTTGACACCAGTATCTAATATTAATTATATGGGCTGAATTTCATGGAGTAATACTTGTATTTTGATTGGTTCTTATCTATGATCTCTTGGAGGGCAGATGCATTGATAATGTCACTATCAGATAAAACAAATATATTCCATGTTTAGATGAGTCTGTGTGTAGTAGATCCCAGAAGATATCAAATTGTGCTAAGAATATCAGTGACACTCCACTGCACCTCATGTGCCACTTAAATGTTCTTACCACATTTTCATGTCATTTGTGATCTGCTACTAAACAGACGCAAGAGAATGTGGAATGTATTTGTTAGTTATTTCACTTGTGTTGCAAATAACTCAGTGATGAAAGGAATAACACAGTCACTGCAGCATGCACATAGCAACCGCAAAAGCATGGCACTCAGAGCACTCCAATTTTAAGAAGAAGCCATTCTCTTTGCACATGTCCAGCTTGTAAAACTGTTACTCCTAATGGTGACAAGCATCTAATTTCTACAGGACATATTATCCCTCAATCACACATTAAGGTTACATGAAAAAAGGAATGATTACCAACTAAAGAAGCTCTAGATTGTTAAACAAATGCTCTTTGTTTGTACCTTACCCCTTTAACTCCAGAGATCTAGTTGTTAATTCTCCCCTCTGGCTGCTACAAATTTTTACTCATAAACTAGTTACAAGAGTTTGGTGTTCAATTGGGATGACAACTTCTACCTGATAGGTTTGAATATTCACACCCCTTGATTTGCTGGAAAATGTTTATAAATTATTGGGAGAAGTTACATGTTAATCAGTTCTGGGAGTTAAAGGGTTAAGAAATGTATGGAAAATAGTATGGGGAATATGCATACTGACATTTGGGTGTAAAGGGTTAAAGGGAACCTAAATATACCACTGCAACTCTTTTTTAAATTCTCAAAATAGTTATCAGAGTTACCTTTTTCATAGAAAGAATTTGATTGGCTCCTAGCTGCACTCATGATTTTGGCAATGAAGAAAGGAATGAAAATTTTCCGATGAGACACTTTCTTTATCATGTACTGAAAATCCTGAGGATTGTCAGGCAGCAAATAGTTCTTTCCACCATTGGCAATGTTATTGATGAAATCACTCATTTTTGGTGCATTTATGCCTGCAGGACACATAAGGACCAAGGATGATAGCAAAGATGAGTACTGTGATGCAAACACACCAGCCACAAAGCCGCCCATGGACAAACCAACTAAATGAAACTTCTTCTTATCCAGTCCAACAGCCAACACAAACTGAAAAGAAACATTATAACCCACCAGTAAGTAAGCAGCTCTCTATGTAATTTAGTTCAATGTTGCAAAGAGCATATTAGACCTCTAAATAATAGAAGTGAGAAGCCCAAAGCATAGTTAAAAGGTAGAGAAAGGCCAGCAAGTTCTTGAAGGTTCTCATCTGATTGTTTAAGTACTGGTATCTATGTGTAATACTTGAATAATTATGTAAAGACCCCAAGTTGACATTCACCAGGTGACTATGGTTTAATTGAATTTTGGTGGGAGGGTACATTGAAGGCACATTAGTACATTCAGTGGAGTGAAGCTGGAGAGCAGAGAGCTCACAACTGAACAATAATGGCAAGGATAGTAAAGTAGAAAAATCTGATTATTACATTTGATTGTAAAACTAGAACTTGAATTGCTATGCATAAACTTTACTGGCTTGTTTGAAAGAATTATTTCATATGTACCTGATGAAGTTTGGCAACTTGAGCTGGAATAGAATGATCATCATGGTGTTTTCGGGTAGTATACCCATGTCCTGGAAGATCTACCGCTACCAGATGAAATGTCTTAGGTATGGCTTTTCCCGTAAGACACCAAATACCTTTATCTCCTGTAAAACCATGAACCATCAGAATGACATTTTCTGCCTTTTCACTTTTCCCTCTCTCAACGTAGCTAAATGTGAAGTCTCCCACTGACACATACTTCAAGGTAAACCCTCCTCTAAATATTGTTAACCTGGAAACAAGATCAGTGATTTGTTAAATGGGTAAAAAAATGGGCAGAGATCTGGGAAGGGAAAAGGTTAAGGGGACAGAAGAAATGCAATTAAATGAAATAAATCATATTTTGACCTGATGAAAAATCATTAGATAATCCTCACTGTTGAACTTCAATTGATTAAATTGCAGAAAAGGAAGCCTGTTCCTTTTTAAAAATTTCTTCAGCTAGAGCTTCCTTATGAAGTTCATTTTGCTGAATTGAGACTCAAGAAAACAATCAGGAACATTCTTTGGGGGACTGATTTTACTCTATTTATAATAAGTAAACTGCATGGGCATTGAAAAATTAACCAAATCAAGGAAAATTAAGAGCCAATCATGACAGGTAGTAATAAAACAACAATTTTAACCCATGCTGAGACAAACTAATCCTGATAGTAACAGAACAATGTAATGAAGGTTTAAAAGAACCCCATGACTAGTTGTGCTATCTTTTAACTTAAATTATTTTTTTAAAAATACTACCATTCTACAAAACATCTCAAGATTGCCATCTCTTTTCTTGTAACCAAAAGATTTGTTTCCAATCTTTGAGTGACTTGGTCAGTTTTCAGTGAATTTCAGCAGTTTAGTTTTGTTTCAAGATAAAACATGTTTAATAATGGTCAGAAGATGAGGTCATAGCCTTGAATTCATATAAATTTATCGAATTCTACATGTTTTTTGGCGTCCAAACTTTGACGTTCAGTCACCAAAATTGAAAAGAATTGTGTTTAAATTTGATATGAAAGCAAACTAAAGGTTATTTCTAAGAATTGTCCAAAATTCAAATTAAGAAAGGAAGGTTATCCGTACGCAACACCAAGGAACACTAATCTAGGACAAAGTAAATCATAGTACTTCCGAAGTACCACATACAAACAGTATTTATCAAATTCACTTTTATCACAATTTTCCTTTCAGAATATGCCGACATAAACACTTTGTTTGTTTCGATATCAAGAAATACACTAAAATCATAAACTAAGACCTGAACATTGGCTTGTAATCACGCGATGGAGTAAGAAATATACGTGACAACTGCGAAGTCCAGCAAACACAGAAACAGAATCCCTTTGGTAATATGCGTGTGTATTAATTTAGCAAACGAATGAAACAATAAATCGTCAAATCATCAGATTCTATCGCATTTTGCAGATTCTTTGAAGTTTAAAAACGAAAGTTAACAAACGTTCACACCCAGCCTTCTAAGGGCGTATTATGAGAACTACAAGATCTCTCTTCGAATTTCTGTACATACAGAGGTAAAGCTAGCGTGAATAAGAAAGTAAGTGATAATGATAGCTGATCAAAATGCGGCGCACTTTTATAAACAGTTTCTACATTTAGCATTTTTTTTCACACCTGTGTATGACGTGGCTCAAGACATGGGGAGATGCAAAGTATAATGTCACAACAACAGCCCAGATAAGAAATATTGCAAGCGCCACAACCCCTACAAGAGGAAGAAAAAGTCCCAGCCATAACACCATGGTCACTTGGTTTGAAAGTCTTGTTTGAGGTTGAATAATCTGCTCTGACTTTCCTCTCAGCCCTTTTCTTGTCGTTAGAAGATCTTCTCGATGTCACTTCAAACCAACCAGGTGCTTCCCAAGCCGGAAATGATCTCCAATTAATTTCAGGCAATAAGCAGAAAGGCTTCGTTCACACTTTGTGGCATAAGCAAGCCCTGACTCTAAACAAATACTTCTTGGAGCAAGTTATCATATGAAACTATCATCGAGTGCATCTGTGTTTCAGAACAAGAACTACCCAGGGTGACTTGGGTGAGTAAGGCTTGCCTTCGGCAGGGGGGCCTTGTCACGCCACGGTGTCACGCTTAAGCTAGTAATCTCCAGAATGATTGGTGGTGTTATCGGACGCACATACTGCGCAACGACTTTCGTGTCATGAGAAGATATATATCTTTAAAAGCAGCGTTTGCAAAGTTGCTATTTTCACTTCTGAAAACAGATTGTTTCGGTGATGGTGTTCTCTATCAATCATATTTTGTCAAGGTATAGTTAAGTCAATAGTATTCCTGTGGGAACACGTTGAAAGAGAAAACGTACCTTTTCGACAGGCATTACTCTTAACTGCATTTTCATAATTCGTTTCATACCTATTCTGTTCTTAAAGCTCTCCGTTATTTCCCTTTCCTATTGCATTTTGTTACTGTTTGCGATAAGTAATTTCAGCTCTTTCTTACGACTTATCTCGTCCATCTTAGGAAATGCAAACTCTGCAGATTGTCTGGAATAGCCAGGAACTTCATGCTTCTATTTGACCAACAATCAAGAGAGGGTGCATACTCTCTTAACAATAGAGCTGCTTTTCTGCTGATATCATTAGAGAAGAATAATTTTTTTACCCCACTTCACAAATACTTTTTTTATAGCAATCCTTTCCCTACACCCTGTTTTCTTTCATCTCATTTCACCGCAGACTGTCACAGTTTGCGCATAATCGCCGATTTATCAATGGAGCGTGTATTAAAGAAGGAAAGGGAGAAACCAACCGAGAAGTTCACATCCCCGGTACTTAGCAGAATTATCGGTGTACTCTTTCTCCTCATAAGAGAGATTTATTCTACGAATACATGCTTATCGGCTGAAATCAAAGAGAGAACACGACATTGTGCTGTGGAAGGTTTATTGAGTTAAACAACCCATTTTTTCCACTGGATTTCTAAGTAGATGATACCCCCTATTCTGGTGGAAAAACCTTTATCTGACTACTTTACTCAACAGTAAAGAAGAACACTGTCACAAAAACTAACTACCTTGACCCAGACAAAGGAAAAAAAAACACCTACCATTGTTGACATTTAGGGAGGGTTTTTACACTAAAGCGATTATACTAACACGGTTTATCGCATGGCCGAAGCTAGATATTTTGAGAACTAAAATTCGTGTGAGTTTCTTGTGGTTTGTCAGCTAGTTCGTTCTATCTCTTCCGACAGCTGCTACAACTGTATGTTATACTTTCAAAAAGGCTATCTTATCGTAGAAGAAATTCTTAGGATTAGCTGTATCTGTCGTTCGACATGTCCTAGTCTTAGGGTAGCATTCGCGGCCATCATAGAACATGAATGCAACACATGAAGGGTTTGCTTTGCAGCGTCTGGCGCACTCCATCAAGGAGACGAATCCGTGGATGGACCAGATATCATTGCCGCTACAATCACCAGGTCTCATGGCAAAGCCTCTTGGGACTTTGTCATAAAACATATTTAGGGGGTTGGTCTTGGTTGCAGTGGCACAGGTTTTAGTCTTGGGGTAACATCGGTGATTGTTGTAGAACATAAAGGCCTGGCAACTGGGAGATGTGGAACACAATTGTGCACATTCCTTCAAGGTTGTACGATCTCTGTAAAGGGACCAGATGTCGTTACCAGGGCAATCCCCAGGACGCATGTTGTAATCTCTCGGTACAACACATCGCAGCTTCCCTCTCAGCTGTTGAATTTGGCAGGGCCTGAAGCCTTCGGTATTTTGAGCATCTGTGGCTAGTACGACCGTAGACATGACCAGCATCCACGCAAGTCTCATTTCTTTATTAAGGAATATAAAATTTTGGTCTTTTTAAAGGTATATTAAGAAACATTAAGGAGTGTTCTATTTCAGCTCATCATGTAAAGGTACGCGAGGGAACGAAGACCGTGTAACCTTAACCAAACTAAAAATGAAGCGATTGCAAGGAAAACTGAATACGTGAACTATACCTATAATACATACAAAAGGTAAACAACGTAAATGTAAAGAAATAAAAACTTACTTTGGTCTCGCTCCTAACGGTAGTAAATAGCTTATAGCGAACGGTAACAAATAGCCTGTAGCATTATCTAGCAGCGACGATTAGTATAGCCGCAAACGCTAATCACTCGTATTTCAAACTTTACTAGAACAAACTTGACACATTGTTGAATACGGTAACTGAAAATGACAAAATTACAAACACGCGAATGAGCATAAAATAACTTACATCGTATGAGTGAAAGTACTGGAAAACGACAAAGCGAAATAAACAAGGATACTTGCAAGACGAATGTGACCAAACCAAAGACGAAAACATGAAACCCAGAGCTAGATATGTAACGATAATTTTCGCAAACTAGACAACTAACCAAATAAATTACGCGCAACCAATATATACACGATATGCAAATAAATATAACAAGTACAAAACTGGTAACTGACAAAGGACACTAAAGGAAGACGAGAAAATAAACACCTAACACGAAACTATGAAACACCAACACTAACAAAAAATGATAATACAAATTCTTGCGCCTACAATTAGCAGTGATGATTTAGCAGCGATTACTAGTAGCGACGATTGAAATAGAATCTTTACACGAGCACTTAAGTGGGAATTTGATTGGAGATAATTAACTTACTACAATAATCATTAACTAACGAAAAACTTATCGATGAAAATGAACCAGAACAAAACTGTAATAAAGTGTGTATTAACCAGGCGTTTCGAAACTAACAGACCGTACTTGAAAAAAAATAGTTACAACAAATCTTGCAATGACAACGTAGTAACAATTAGACCTATTGTTTTAAACTCGAACGAAAATAAACCTAGAGAGTAGAATAATTCGAACTGCTCTCAGACTTGGATTTAGCGCATCATAAGTCCGGAAAAATATGCAAAAGAGTAAAACGACGTTAATTTCGATTTTAGGATCTTAATGTGCAGTACATGTTTCATACATCACGACTAAATAAACAAAAATTAAATACCAGTAGGGAGTTTTTTCGACCAAACGAACTTCCACACGGCTTTAAGAAGCAGAATACAGCTGTTAAACTTAAAGAATTTTGCGATTCACAAAATCCATGCAATAATTATCAAGGTACTTCGAGGTTGAACTGAGCAATCATGTCAACTGCGTGTGATACTCATTCCACAGTTCTGATAGCTCGCGTACCTAGAGACGAAACTTAAGATGTAACTTGTTTTGGCACATGCCTTCAAATGCTAGAGGTTGTCCTAACATCTGAGCTCTAGAAAGCATTGAAAAAGAGGTTTCTTTCAACTTTTTACCGGATCTCTCAGTAAAAATTAAAAAGCACTGAGCACTGAGCACTGAGGGGGACTAAAGGTCATCCATGCCTCGTGTGTTTAAATTGCCCACTGGAGATATCCAAAGGAGACGACATCGAGGGGAATTTTCAACGATTTTTTTAAACAGCCTCGCGTGATGTATTGTAATCTGCCCTGACTTTCCTCAACGGTCTTACCCTGTCAATTTTTTGCACTCAATTTTAACTTTCTGCAAAGTTTGGAATGAATGAATGTGGTGAAATTTTTTGCATAGACAACATCGCGGTACAACGTCGTTCTTTCGCTCGTTAATTCGCGCGTTCGCGAGAACTCGCACACAGACTTGCTTATATCCTGGGCATTGTTGTCTTTTTAACCCTTAAAATCCTAGAAGTGATTGGCATGTAACTTCTCCCAATGATATCCATACGTCATCCAGCAAACAGGTGATGAGAATACTCAAACTTAACAGGCATAAGTTGTTATCGATCTAACACCAAATTCTCACAAATGTTTAACAAGGGAATGTGCAGCGGCTAGAGGGGAGAATTAACAATCATATCTTGGGAGTTTTGGGGTTAACAAACAGATTCCGTGTTGCCGTGCGTCTGTTCAGTAACAGATCGCGAATTACGTCATAAGGGAAGAAAAGATGGTTAAATGGTGACGTTATCTAAGAGCACTGGAAAGGAAGGGGGTCCTGATCCTGTTCTAGGCACGAATTTCAGAAAAATTCACGCATTACGTGTACTTACTTACTTGACTATTTTACAAATTAATTTTGGGCTTAATCAGGCGTCACGTATAATCATTTAAAACCCTCATCTAAGCGTCTTTCCTCTACTTCATCATAGGTAAGAACCAATGAAAATGTGCGTTTAATTCAGCTTATCACATAATTAACAAATAAATTCCATGTTGCTGGGTGTCTGTCATGTAATAGATCACAGATGACCTTACTGATGTTCCTACTACATTTTGATGTCTTCTGTGATCTATTACTGTACAGACCCATGAAAGTACGGAATCTATTTGTTATCTATGATAAAAAAGCAAAATATTGTTGATGGTGACGTCATCTAGGTGTCAGTCCTCCAGGAGATCATAGATCAAAATGTGTATAGTATTCAGCTTATTATAATTATATTTTTCAATATTCATGACCATTGCAAAGTGTATTGTACTCTTTCACTGCATTGATTGTAACACTACTAGAACATCAAGACCCAAAGCCGGTAGAAAAGATGATTTAATTAATCATGTCATGCTACTACAGGATTACAAGATGATAATATCTATAGAGATTTCAGTGTCTCCTTAGACACCAACCTAAATCACAACTACAAATTCACTTACAAAATAAAAAAAAAATGATCCATCCTTGTTCCTAATTGTGTGCAACTAATAATGCAATCCTGTTAGTGCTGCGTTCCTGAATGTTACATTTATTTTAATGACACTGATAATTCTATTTGAAAAAGAAACTCATACAATAACTTACATCTACCTAACTCGTTACAATGCATTTAAAGGGTCTGTTGTGCTTGTACTGCATTGGTCCTTTCCTCTTGAACAACAAGGGGAGTCCTTTACATCACTTGATGGACAAAATCTCTATTTCAAATAGGAGATCAGCATTGGGAGGAATCGTGAGAGTAGTTAAGGGCAATTAAATTCTAGTTTGATAAAAAAAGAAAAACCTTAATTGCAGTGTTTTAACAATAATAACCACATAATTTGGAGGATGTTGAAAAAACCATAAACTTTCAGGAGCTTTATATACATCTCATCACTTAACAACCATCATAAAGATAACAGGAGAACACTGATACAAAAGAAAGGTCAAAATAAAGTTCAGGTTCTTTTTTATGAGGTGATCATATTGGTGTAATTATTATTATAGTTTGGTCTGAGGGATGAATATTTCAGAGTGGAACTCAAGATGGCAACAATCACTGAGAAAAAAAAATATAACCAGAAGTAAATAAAAAAGAAACAAAAAAATACTCTCTAGTTCTTTCAGAATAACAAATAAATGCATAAATATTGGGAACAATCTTTCTTTTGGTTGAATAAGTTTAGTACAAATGCTTCACTTTTAATTGAGGAAATGCAAAATTAGACTACACATAATGCAACAAAGATTTTTCAAAGTTGAAAGGATATCCCCAAGATGAGAAACCTGATGCCCCATAACCTTTGTGGGAAGGAATAGTGAGCTTTGCTATTTCTCCTTCACTCATTGTCATGCATCCTTCATCCCAACCTGGGAAAACAAATCAGTGAGTTGGGAGGCTAAAGACAATGCCATAGATGCAAGAGATTAGTCTTTATAAAGATATGAGTTTATTACTACAAGATATCTCAGAATAACCTTCCATCTAAGCAATAATTTGCAAGGTAAGAGACACTTGGTTGATTAGTTAGCAAGTTCAGCAAAAGAAAATTAAATTCATTTGTGAACCAACATAGTTTATTTAGAGTGATAGCCCATCAAAAGAGTCTAAATGTGTCACTTAACTATATCATATATGTGCATTTAGGACTCACCTTTTTTAAACACAACATCCAGCGAGGTGTTGCTTATTACCAGTAAGTATTGTAACATCCATTATTTGGATACAGTGTGAATCAAAGAATAACAAACATACCCTCCTACAAAATTCATGTTATCCAGAAGTAAAAGCTGCTATAAAGTTAATCCAAGTCTGTATAAAACACACAAATCTATGTAGTAAGCTCACATTAACCTTACATACTTTGAAGGTTCACCTGGGAAATTACGTTTTGAGGAACTGAGCTAGTTAATTTATTGATTTCCCACCTGCAATCACTTTCCCTAATCCAACTTGGAATGTAAATGGTTTCTGCCCTGGATCCTTTGTACTATAAAACAGGACATTAATGAGGGTAAACCATGAAAGAGTGAGAATTCCATATGTTTCTCTGCCAAGATGCTTTATTGGAAAAATTTAATTTGTTTTCTTAACATACCCCATCAAAATGTCAATTATACAAAATAGTCCATTCAGTTTCTTAGTGTGCTGTAATTATTGCTTTGAATGGAGGGGGGGTGTGGTAAGATTTATTGTTCCAATCTACTACTGAAAAACATTGCCATCCTAGAGAATGAAAAAAAAATTAAAAAACTTGCACCAAGCACCTCATGGCGCATTTCGCTTTTTTGCATGCTTTTATCATTGCTTTAAGCGTGAGGGTTGATTATTCCTCTCGTTCTGTCAAAGAACATAAGTAGTCCAGTTTTTTATTTTGTTCTGCAATACCCAAGAGATTAGAAAGATACCTATTATTAAGTCAGAGGAATTTGAATTTGCAAACAGCGTATTCTAAATTTGACAGGAGCGTTTGCACGTGCTTCGTGCTAATGTGGAATTTATCGAACGTTAATGAGAGGCGCTTTCATTCCGTCTAGAAGATCTTGTTCCATACAGATGTTCGCCTCGTCAAATTAAAAAAAATTACCTCCAAAACTTTTTGGGTGGGTTCGTGTTTAACGATCCAGTACAATTGACTGTAATGGTAGCTCCTCTGTGCGGAGTGCGACCGTTCCCAGGTTTAATGACTTCTTTCTTCACACCGTCGGCCATCTTGTCGATAAGCTTATGGACTATCCCAGTATTCCTTGCTAACTCGCAATGTCGTTTCCAGGGCCAATCTTCATTTGCGCTGTGCGCCTTACTCTTTAAGGCTTTGAGCGATCCTACTGAGAAAAAAAGCAGAAAAGTTTCGAGAGACTTAGGGCCGAAAATGAAAGGAGAAACAAGTGTTTTCACGGCTTCTCCGCTTTTCTTTTTATGGAGCTGCTAAAAAAAGAAATATCAGTAACGCAGGCAACCGCTATCGATCGTTATCACCTAATCACAATGGGTCTGAACTACAAGCTGATTAACAAACAAGTTTCTATATAGTGCGTGTGTCTGTTGAGGTTCAGATCACAGATCACAGATGAACTCAAACAGGCATACGAGCCGCGGTAAATGTGACACTTTTGTGATTTATCTCTTAACAGACGTACCAGGTGTGACCGTAGCGTAGTCTGTGACTTGAAAACAGCGCGTATACCTTGTTGTATACAGCGACGAAGTTGTTAGGAGAGACTTTTGAAATAGGATGGGACTGCTGAACTCATTGGGGGAGGAAGGGAGGGGGGGGGTCAACGCTGGCAGTCGGTGTCTTGGTTTTCGCTGCCCTCTGCACGAAAGAGGAAGGATAGCCATTAGAGAAAAAAAAAAGATGAAAAATATTTTTTCTCCCTGGAATTAACGGAAGCTTTTGTAACGAGACGTTTTGCAGGCTCGTTAAGACATTTGACAATACCGCGATTCACTGATTGCGGATGGAGTGAATTATACCCTAAGTATTGGTCAGTTTTTGTCGACTTTTTCTATTCTCTGGTGGTTGGGCGTCCATCAGGTTCTTTTGAAACTGCGGTGTCGAGGAAGGTGAGTTAGTTGTTGCTTTCTGTTTTCATGATGAAGCGGCTAGAAGGTTGTTGGTGTTTTCAATGCTGTAAAAAGCTTTCTACATTCTTGCAGGTCAAGATGTTGAACGTGTCTACGTATCGTTTTCAGATGCTAGGTTTGTAGGGTGATGATGATATTGCTTTTTCATCATCTTTTGAAAGTGTTATTTTTCACGATGACAAACCACAACCTATTTTACGATATAAAGTTTTATCCTTTTGTTTAATCATTTTCTTCCATAACAATTTTGTGAAAAAAAGCACACACACAAAATAATCATACAACCAATTTTTTTTTCTTTTGCAGCCTTACATTGACTGAAATACAAATCCAACGATAACAGATGAATGACTATGTTAATTGAAAGCAGTATCCACTTCATTGCGGTAACATACTCTGTGATTTTCTTCCCTCTGCGGCCCTCGTGTAGCCTGCCCCTCCCAAACTTGATTGTTTCTGTTCTCAAATGTCTATGGATTATCATGAGAGAGACCTCCCACAAAACGAGATGGGGTATCACCTGCAGCCGCATAAAACCCAACACTGCAATATTTCATCTTGGACGGCCTGACTGTATATCTATATGAGCCGATAAATCCAGCAAACAGTTCGCTCACCGGAGGAACGCCACTCGCTAAGTTGTCTTCAAATGCAAGAGATAGATCTTGATTGTAGGAAAAGGACACTTCTTGCTGGTTTCTTCCGGCCAAGGCAATTTGTTGTTGCTTCGTATCTAAGAATAAGGCTCTTGAATAGAGGAATACTGACATGATAGCATCCAACTCAAATCCAGCATCACTGGACTGAGTTCGTATTCGTGCTTGTTCCATTCAGCTTTAGCCTACACGTGATTCGATCAGTTGACTTAAAATTCTAAGGACCCTTTTTCAAAAAATATTTTTTCACAACCATCTTGAAGCCTCTATTTTGCGCGCTCATGAAGCTGAATCCGTTACTTATCGAAGATCTATATGATGTAACGAGAATGCGTCTGACGCAATAAAATAGTTTTCGCGAGCGCGCTTCCCTTCACTGATCTGTGATAAAACAGGATCAAACTAACTTCAAGTTATCGTAACGACTAGCGATTGGGATACTTGTTGCGTTAATAAAATGGTCTGTTTTCTGATGGATTTTCCTTTAAACGATCACAGAACTTAGAAATTTTTGATCACTAGTGATCCATAAATAGATAAATTCAGGTGCCCGTATAGATACCACTCACTGCCTTATCTCTTTTCGGCCATTGCTTAAACGCTTTTAACTTAAGATTTATTTTCTTTTTTTTCCTATTCCTGCGTTGCTTGCGGTTCTTTGGCCGTCTTTGGTTGCGGAGCCGTAAAACTGATTCGCACTGCTCCATTCAGTCGTCAGTTGCTTCTGTACAAAGTAAGCACGCAGCGCGTTCCTATCTTTCACTTATAGGGTCCAGGTCCCCAATAATAACAGATTGCTAGGTTTCCTTGTCAAATATTGGTAAGGAATCTTTGTTGAGTTAGAAGTGCTGAACAAATATGACCTCTTCGTCGGTGCTTACAGAGGATAGATTTTCTATTCTTCTCTCGAGACTTGATAGAATCGAAGCTTCTCTGGCTGGCCTTGAAGATGTCAAGAAACTACTAGTAGAGATAGAGGACAACACTCATGCCGAAGTAGATAATAAGTGCGATTTTCGTCAAAACAAACTTGAGAAGGTTGGCTTTGACATAAGTATAATTTCTTTATCTCTTAACTGAAATGCACACAATCGCAAACAGATTTCCAACAAGGATCGTAAGAAACATAAGCATATCTATTACTTTTACTCATAATCAGCTAAGAAAAAACTGTAGAATACATAGCTAGCCAATCACTATCATCAGCAAATAAGCCAACTTATGATTCTGTACTATTTACCATTCCATTTGATTTCTCTTAAAATGTGCTCTACAAGTTGGCATTTACAGTGTGCTCTACTTCCTGTAAATCAGTTTCGTTGTGGTGTTTTTGTCAGACCAGCCCTCCAGTGATAAATAGTGGGCAACGGGAGGCAACATTGTCAACAACTAATGTGCGATTTAATGACTGGAAATATACGAAGATCAATATATGTGCGATTTAATGATCGATTGGACTGCCTACCAACTGTTTAATTTATAGTCGCAGATCCAGAAAATTAAGACTTGAGCAGTCTGGGAAATTGCAGAGAGAATGCACACCAGTTCAATATGAAAGAAATTTCAAACATATTCTCTAAAAATTCGTTATCTTGCCTTTATTGTCCCTTCCAAACCAGCCCAACAGTATTTAGTATTGAGTATTTAGGTTTTCTCAGCCAATCCCTCTGGCTCCTCTTCAATAAAATCAATCAGAAAATTGATATAATTCTTTCAATTTAAAAATAACTCATTTCAATTTTTTCATTAAATTAATTGCAAGTGTTGTTTTTTTCTTTTAAGGTTATTGTGGCAATTAGAACCAGTATTATATCTGTTGGTGACATTGACACAGTTGGTCAGCAATTCAAATGTGATTTTTATATGTCGGCAACCTGGTCAGAGCCACAACTGCAGGGAAGAAGTCCGGATGTGAGCTAAATTTCAACTATATAACAAATGGCAGTTAAGCTTGTTCAGTTAATAAAGTGACTGTCCCTGAGATATCATCCAACTCTGCTAAAACTCTTCTAAAGCCATACAAAATTGTATGCCTAATGCCATGTAACCCTTCCATTCCAAAGATCTTAATATTAGTTCTTACTATCGTCAACCATATATTTCCTAGAATTTAGGTTTTTTTAGAATTTGTTGTTGGGTCAAAGCACATTCCTTAAGTGAAAGTTGTCTTCTTCTCTTATAACTTTTCTGGTTAACCCTTTATACCCTAACATCACCATGCATATTCTCCATACTGTTCTCCATACATTTTCAAAGAGGCTGACAAGGAGAATTTGTTTAACAATCAAGCCTGCTTTAGTTGGTGATCATCTTCTCTATTCTTATGACTTTCATTTTTGATTCAGGGGTGATATGGTAAGGAGAAATTAGATGCTAGTCACTCTTAGGGGCTAAAGGGTTAAAATGTTTAAATATTTTATAACAAGTTGTATTTAAATGGCTCAGTGGCTAAAAGGTTAAAACAAGACAACAGTTGTAGTGTTAAGGGAGAGAAGGTGGTCAAAGTTACTATTTTGTCTTGAATATTACATTTGTTTTCTTTTCAGGATATAAGATGGAACAATGAATGGCATCCCAGAGTTGTGTTTTTTAATGCTGTGGAAATTGAAAAAATGGAAATAAATCATAAATTGTTTTATGAAGAGGGTAATCAAATACCGTATGCCATGCAGTCATACAGAATAAAAGGAAGTTTTAGAGAAAATTTGGAGTTGTGGAATTTTCCTTTGGATTATCAGGTTTAGTATTCTCCTATAATTATTATTATTCCTGTAATATTCTGTTAGTTACTCAAAACTTACTATGATTAAGAACAATTTTTTTACTTTGATTATAATAAATATAAAAGATAATTTTCCTTTGGAAAAAAAAACTCTTGCTAAAAAAAGAAACATCAGTAATGCAGGCAACTGCTATCAATTGTTATCACCTAATCACAATGGGTCTGAACTACTTAAGACACATTCCTGTTTTTCATAAACTAAGGCACAATTCTCACATGTGAATGATCCTTAATTACCAGTTACAATCATTATGTACCAAAAGCTAAGCTTATATTGGTGAAACATATCCAGTCAAAGGTTGACCCCATTAAGGTCAAAAAGTATCTCCTGAGGCTTAATTAAGCTGATAACTGTGTCCTGTTAGCTTAGGATTTATTAGGTGATAATCCTAGCAATTTCCTTTAAATAATTATTTGTTCATAAACAAGAAGAAATCATTTCTCAGTAACTTTGATCAATACTACCTTCATTTAGAATGTGCCATCTTATAAAAAAATATTGCTAGACTTCAGTTTTACATGTAAGGTCATTAGTCATGATCTACACTTTTTTTCTGCAGCAACTGACAATAACACTCATGTCAGATTGGACTGATAAACTTGTAGAATTTGAAAAAGACCTAAGAAAGCCAGATACGTTGCGACCTGAAACATTCACAGCTGACCAAGAATGGCACCTATGTAGAAATGTGGTCACTGAATCAACTAGTACTGTATCTTCAGAGGGAAGCAGTGCTAATGACTACCCTCTCTACCATATCAAGTGTCATGTTAAGAGAAAGAATGGTTACTACCTTTGGAACATTGTTATGATTATTGTAAGTACTAGCCAAAGTTGGTATAAACTTGTCAGGTTACTTAGTTGGGATACTTAGGGCTGGTTATTTAAACATAGTTTAGCCGCTTTGAAACGAAACAGTGTTCTAAACAATCCTCAATTTAGCTGGACCTTTCATCAGAACATTTATTTTTTTGAACAGTGTCACAGGCTGCGTGAAAGGACATTTATTTAATGAAATCAACCCTCTAACAGAAAAAGCATGACACCTACTGGTTACATACAACCATGGTTTGGGTTAGACTTCAAATAAATAACTGGTCCTGAGAGTTTGGGATTCAAAACAGGGGAAATTACATTACATACTTTAAGACTACAACACAAGTCAATTCCATGCATGAAAAGGGTGGGAGAAGGAAAGAAAGGAAAGGGGGAAGGAACCGTTATGAATATAGGCTGGAAGGTGTTAAAGAAAATTGCAGAAAATTTGAAAGGATAGCCTCTCATAGGTATTTGTATTCTAGGGCTTACATAGCCCTAGGATACAAATACCCAGGGCTATGTAAGAAGAGCATCTGCTGATGTGGATTCATCCTAGCTATAAAAGGTGAATGCGATAGATCCTTGCATGTGGAGGTGCTGATAATTAGGCAGACATACTCTGTTCTTGCCTTAAGGAATTTTTAGCTGTCAGTTGGCATTATTCAGTATTCATAGTCAAATTACTTCACCAAATTGAATGTTCGATTATTAGGATGGGATCAGGAGGCTAAGGGTTGAGAGGTAGAACTGCTTGATGTGAAGAGTATGAAGTTCTGATCCCATGTTTTCATCCATGTGGCTGGATGTTGTTCAAGATATTTACATTTGATACAAATATCAAGTCATGTATCAATTAATTTGATTTCAACTGAACTCTATTTTCTGAGTGTGATGGTAGCCACCTTAACTGATTTAAATTAGCTGACCTTTTGGTTCTGTTTATTTTTGCAGTTTCTCATTTCTCTCTTATCATTCTGTTCATTTTCTGTGGAAATCTCATCACCTTCTGATCGACTCAGTGTCACCCTTACCCTTCTGTTGACAGCAGTAGCTTTCAAGTTTGTGGTATCACAGAGCTTACCGACTATTTCATACTTGACATTACTGGTGAGTGTTTGTCTCCCACTTTAACACCTTAAGGAAATGCTTTGGAGGGAAATTTGATGTTTTTTATCATCCCTTTGAAATTGCTTTTCATTGGCATTACTCAATAGGATCTTTGACAATTAAAATTTGGGTCCAAAAATTGGGGTCTAATGGACAGATAGTGTACCTCCCTTCATAGCCTTGTAAATATGCTCAGTTTAAGTGAAAGGGGTGCAAAAGTAACAGTGTGACAAAACGAGGAGTTTTAAGCAATCCATCTCATATTGCTTTTTTTTCTCATAGGACAAATATGTTTTGTGTGGCCTTCTCTTCCTGGGTTGCATGGCTATTGAAAATGCAGTTGCTGCAGCTCTCATTCTAGACTCAGCAGCTCAGAAAAAGTTTGATAGAATTTGTTTATATGTTGGCATTGGCTGCTTTGTTTGCATCCATGTTGTGTTCTTGGCTTTTGTCATTGTCAAGGTAAGAATGAATCATTTTATTAAGTGGTCTTCTAAAGAATTATTATTTCAAGCGGTGACATCAAGTTAAAATAAGTATGATTTCATTGTCAAGATCAGGATAACAGTACTGATATATCTGATAATTAAAATTCATTTATGTAGGATCTGTGACCAGATGCTGTCAGGGGAAATTCAGAAACAAAATTCTATCAGATAACTGGCTTCTTGAACTTGGAAAAATGTCTTAAAACATCACTTTTACAATACTATTGTATTAATCTCCATAGACTGCCAGTAAAAAGAATGAAATCAATAGTAATAACATTCCTAGCTCACAGCTACCTCGTTCTCACCCATTTCCAAAGAAAATAGTTGTATACAGCAGAGGGGCCAACACTTGAAACACCAGCTTTTCAAAATTTGTTACGTTGACTAGTCTGGCTTCATTTTAGTTTTTTATCAAGTGTCCAACTAATGCCTACCAAAACTGATAATTTTTCAGTGCTAATTCTAGTCTCTTTTTGGTTAAGTAGTATTCTCCATAACAAACTGTTACAACTGTTACTCATTGAAATCTTTTTCAAACTACTTTCTTTCAGTCAAGAACAAGAAATAGAATACTCTCTGAAAATGACAAGAAATTCCGGGTAAGTTTCTCCTGCACTTAAGATAGCTGTGTGAAAGAGGAAGGTAATTTTGGCTTCCGTGAAGCCATGATATTGAACTTCACTCAGAGTTTGCTATTAATTTGATAACTTCTGCTTAGAACCATAACACAGAAAATGATTTATGAGCAGCAAAAAGTTGATTTTTTTAAATACTCATAACTTCTGTCTGTTTATTTTAGGAGATGTTACGGAGGGTAAAAAATTATGCAATGGAACAAGAACAAAGAAAAACAGAAAAACCTGAAGCAAAAGACACAGAAAGATCTCAGCAAGACAAAGTTTTGGTTGTAAAGGCTTCCCCCCACCAGGGAGGGGTCACTGCCTAGATCTGTGGTCTTGGAATATTAATTTGAGCTTCAAATGCCCAAACATCCCTTTCCCTACCACACAGACACACACCAGCATCCACCTTACCTCCCCCATAGTGTCATTATTGTTTCTACATTGAAATACACTTTTTTGCAATGTATATTTGAATTTAGTGTAAAAAAACAGAGAATCAGACCTGCAAAAGACCTTATTGCCAATGCTATTTTGCACCATGGGACCCCACTCTCTGAAATATTTTAAAACCTCTTTGGACTTAAATAACATCTCTATTGTGAAAAAATAAAAAATATATCTACAGTAGAAACATGTTCTTCTGAGAGGAAGTAATAAAGGTAAATATGTTTTTACTTGCCATTACTGCATGTACCAGGAAATTACCATTTTCCATTACCAGTTGGGAATTTGTTCTGAAAAGTGGATGCGCTCATCAAAAACACAACTTTGGAGGATTCCCAAAAGTGTCAAGCAATGCCATCTTACTTACATGCTTTATAATGTTTCTACATTTTGTTATCGTACAGAACCAAAGGAAGAGTCAAAATGGCTAAAATCAAACAGGCACAAGCTTCTTTTATCAAGTCTTACTTTATTAGTTGGCTTCAAGTCAAAAAGATAAACCAATAACAAGAGACTTGAATGAGACGAGTATCACATGTTGACTAGCTCCTATTGCCTCAAACACTGTAGAAAATTACCATCCTTCAAAATTTGCATGCCTATCATGTGGTGCAGCTTTATAGATAGTTTACCAGTGATCTGTAATTTTCAGGCACAATCAGAATATTGTGTCTTCTGCTTAATTTAGTTCAAGACGGATATCGTTCCACAACCATTGCGTGACCCTGAAAGAAAGATTGTCACACACATGGACTGTCAATCTAGATCTGAACCTAGGGAAATCTCACCCATACAAGGTAGAAGGGGAAAGGTTTGTGATGCTGGACAACAAAATTGCATGGCTTCCCCTGTAAAGAGTTAAGACACTTGCTTGGTGAAATTCAACCATCACTGGAAATTTCCAAACAAGTAACTATGTTTTATTAAGTGACTATTGTAATCTGGTGTTCATTTAAGGCCCATTATGGGCCTCCTCCACAATCAAAGTCACAATCAAACGGATGTAAAAAGTTGTCATTCTATCTGATTTGCTTTACAAGTCTTGTGGTGAGTTGCTTCACAACAAACCTTGTTTTTGAACCCTCCTGTATTCCAAGCTTACTTACCAAACCTCCAGCAGCACATGCAGCAACCAGCCCATATTGACCACCTTCCTTAAGAAGTCTGTTGGCAGTTGTGGTGACCAATCGAACTCCAGTGGCACCAAATGGATGACCAATAGAAAGGGAGCCGCCCCAAGTGTTTAATTTTTCCATTGGAGGGACCCCAACCTGTAGATAACATTAAAAGACAAAGCAGTTGGTGTACCAATGAACTGGTTACCTGAGACTTATTGGAAAGCATTCATTTTCCACTGTGCAGTTTGCCACAACACTTAAAAAGCAACCAAGAATGGTCCTGGGTGATGCAACCACTCTCCAACAGCTACTGAAAGTGTTCCTTCACATAATATAATGGTAATTGTGAAGTCTTCGGTTTTCAAACACTTTTGTGTCTCACAAGATCCTTTCAACTTTCCTGTGGTACTTTTAGCTTGGTTTTGTCCGAAACTGGTAATTTACCAAAATACAATTTGTGAGGGTGCTTTATGGGCAAATATTAAGAAACCCTCCGGATGACCCAACACTTTTTAGCAGCACACAGGAGTTGAATCAGTGGATCAGATTGTTTTGATCTAAAAACATTTTCTATCCTAACACCTTTCTCAGGTTCCTTACAACTTTTATTTACAAAGATGTACCATTATTACTTTTGTTTTGATTTTCTTACCTTTGAGCTTCTTCCCATGTAGTTCTGTGCAAACCAGTCTGAATCCATAGCTTTCAAGTTGGCCAGAATTTGACCCTTCAAAAACAAAATCAGCAGGTTGCATGAAGTAATTCTTAATAATGTAAATGAAGCAGAATTAGGGCCTTTGTAAAAGTTAAAATGCAAACTCACTGCAAATGCTTCATGGTATTCAAAAACATCAATGTCCTGCAACTTGAGTCCAGCCTTCTCCAGAACTTTGGGTGTGGAGTAAGCTGGTCTGAAAATTATTACAAATTGGTGAAACTTCCATATGCCTATGTAGGATTCACAATGTCCAAAAAGAGAGAATTCCGAATTCTAACTCAGTGTAATTAGAAATATAAAAATTACCCCAATAAAAGCTGATCTTTGGGATCCTGTGAGACATATACAAAATCCCTATGGAAAACAGAGGAAGAAGAGGACATAAGCTGTAAATGACAGGAATTGAATGGAATAGCAGCATTTTTTAAGTTTGATCTCATAATACCTCAGGTATGCTTTGGGTTTGAATCCCATCTCCAGAGCTTTATCTTCACTCATTATCAAGCAAGCAGAGGCTCCATCCGTCTGTAAAAACAAATAAAATGTAGCATGTAAGAGAATCTCATCCATGAGAGGTACACCATTACTTTCCCCTATTGAAATCTTGGGGTCTCCAGGAGTGCTCTTTTCAGTTGATATCTAAGGTGTTGCATTTCTAAGAACCTTCCTAAATGCTGTGTCACAAAAACTGTCCTGTTCTGGATTTCCTTGCAGGTATATTTTTACAATCCTTTTAACAATTGAAGCCAAAGACATTAAGAGACAGTGAGTAGAGATTATGACGAGATGGTGTGTGGCAAGCTTGAGAAGAGTTTTTCTCATTTAGCCCCAACCCCTTCTTGTTCTTGCTACCTTATTCTGTTCTCTTTCCAGGGTAGCAACACTTGATCACAGGAGAAAAGACCAGCAACGAAATGAATATATCATGCTTTGAGTAAGCAGGCAGTCCTTAAAGCTGAGACGTGTTGCAAAAGCCAGTTTTACTGAACGAGATTTTCCCCACATCAACATTTTCAAGTCAAAGCAATCAAGATACTAAGTGTTAAAGCTAAGGTATATCTCCTGTCTTTCACTGAAAAGGGAAGGCAACCCGTAAAAACAAGCTAAAGGACTCACCAGAAAGGAAGCATTAGCTGCAGTGACAGAGCCATGTGGTTTAACAAATGCTGGTTTTAATTTTGCCATCTGCTGCATGGTTGAGACCCGGATCCCATTATCAGCTGTCACAGTTTCAGTGCGACCTAAGAGAGTAACAAATTAATCTTTGAAAAATGCCAGCCTGCCTTTGCATGTTCAGTGATTCCCTTTCACTAGCAGGCTTAGGCCCCAACCACACTAATATGTTTTGGTAAGTGTCCATTTTCATCTGAAAGAAAACGAAGCCAAATATGCTAACCTCCACCAGTGTTTGTATATTGCCCCTAACTTTCTTGACTATACTGCATTTTTTGCAGATCAGAAACATGGATGGACAGGATGCTTTTTTCCTCAGCATGTACACAATGATGTTTCATCCAATTATGACACATTTAAGTTTTTGACATACCTGGTACTTTGTAAGGTACAACATCTTCCAACTTTCCAGCCTGGAAAAAAGAGAGACAAAAACACTTAACACCCCAGTATTGACACATTGTGATTTGGGACAACACAAGTACAGCCAGAAAGAAAATGGTTGGATATATTTGTTTCAAAATCACAGTCAATAATTAGTGATTATCAATTATCAAAAGAGTGTAAATGCTGTAAATTTCCTTACACTTGCTGCTTGATGTGCTAGTGTGTGAGATCGTAAGGCATATTCATCCTGCAATGTAAAAAATATTTCTTTCTTGAGTGTTTTGTGTTCATTTTTTTGTGGTTCATGTAAAAAGTTGGTGGGCCATTAACCAAGAAAAAATGAAACAAATACATAATCTAGTTAAGCAGTCTAATTGTACTGGCTAATAAAATAATACATACAAAAAAATGATAATCAGACAAATAACTCAAGCAATCAATAGGAAAATCAATAAACACTTTAATAAAACACTAAAATTAGTAATTACCTGTTCTTGCCTACTGATGCCGAATGCAGCTGCCAATCTTAAAAAAAATTATAATAATAAAATGATTAAGACATGTCAGTAGAGTGATAGAGTTTTTACAGTAACTGTAACACTTGCAAGAACATGCCCATTACAGCTGATCACATTATATAAATACAAAAAATCTCAGTTCAACATCATGCAATATTAATCAAATAATGAAGAATGGAGGTGTTGTAAATATTTTTTGGACAAGTAACCCTAAAAGTTACAGTATAATAGCTGATTTCAATATATAAGCTAATGTATGTTAATGGTTTCGAATAGAAATGAACAACAACCCAGCCAGAATTTTGCTCCTAAGGGTTAGACTATGTAAGTTAACCATAGAACATTTAGTACATTATTGAACAAACAGGTGATGAAAATGTAGCAATTTATCAGTCTACATGGTGTGTGTACCACATTCTCTTAACCTTTTAACTCCTATGAGTGACCAAGACAGACATTCTCTTTGCAATATCAATAAAATATCAAGTAGAAAAGTGATGAGAATAAAGGAAAATATAAATTGGAAATAATTAGTTGACTCAACACTAAATTCTCTATAATTACATAATAAGAATTGTATGGCCGACAGTAAGGAGAATTGCAATTGAGATCTCGAGAGGGAGAGGATTAACTCATTTTCAAAGAAATGTATGGCAAACAGAAGGGAGAATCGCAAAGCAGACCTTGGCTAATCAAAATAAATTAAATGTAGTTTCTAAAAGGTTATACCTGTCACCACTATGTCCCATGGTTTCACCAGTAGAAAATTCAGCCACAGCTGGCAGCTAATGAGAACAATAAAAATGAAATAACAGCTCAGCTGAGTGTTTTAAACAAGCTTCCTTGACATCTTCCTAGTTCTGGACCAGAAATATCATGTAATTAATTTAAACAATTGAATCACCTCAGGAGAGAGAAATTTTGGTCTGATTTTTGAAAGAAGCCCAAGTCTTGCACCAAGAGATTTGGCCTGAAAAACATAAGCAAAGCATTTCAGGGAAGATTACCTCAAAGTATTGGTGAACAAATTCAGTGGTTTAATTTACATGCAATATGACTAGCCATGAATGACACACCTATCACCAGTGTACACTCTGAAGGTTCTGCAAACTACTGCTGATCAAAAAGCCATCCCAGTGTTTGTTACCAAAACAACTTAGCACATGCTTCCATTGAGTCTTTACAATTATTTCAGACTGTTTGAAAATCATCTTACCTTATTTAAAGACAGCAGAGTTTTTCTAAGTGGTCTGCTGAGTCTGATGGGAACATCTGACATGAATTCAACTCCTCCAGCAATCACAGTGTCACACTGACCACTTGCAATTAGTCCAACAGCTTTTAGGATAAAAAAAGGAGAAAAGGAAAAAAGAAATTGCTCTATAAGAAACACAGCCCTTAAAGAAGTTGTGAAGATCAATTGCCAGCATTAACTACTTCACTGTGAAACTAAAGATAAAACTCACCGTTTTCCCTGGAATAAAAACAATGCTACCCTAAAACACAAACCCATATTTTCTGATGTTGAATTGAATTCAAAACAGATTGAAGTAGATACCACCTTAAAACTAATTAGGTCAACCAGAAAAAACACTTGCCAGACTCATCTAACACCAAATAGCTTAAAGAAAATTGTAATATTCCATGTGAGCATGAACTTGAAAAGTGTCAGGTGAGCATATCTTTTCCTCGTTTACTTAACTGTGTGGTATATGATAAAATTTATCTATGAACATTACACAATTATGTCTTAGGTTTCTATAGGAAGACAATAATGATTACAGCTTACAACCAGTTTCTGACTCAAAGGTCTGTGGTAGCTTCAAAAATTGGTATTAATTTCTGACACTTCATTATACTCTACCTGAGGTAATTGCCTGATTTGATGAGATACAAGCCATGGTCACAGTGTGACATGGAGTCTTGTCTGAGAAGCCAGCACCCAGAGCAGCCTTCATGAAAAAAGCAACACCAAAGAATTAGATTTGGTTAAGAAAGCTAGCCATTTTCAAGCTTGCTGACTATTTAAAGAGTCATGCTAAAATTGTTTGTCATGAGTATAGCACTAAGAGAGAATATGACTCTATCCTACAAAGAATCAAACCTTGAATCTTCAGATGTTTTGCTCTCTAGTGATCTACTACAGACCAAAAAGAGTACTCTTTTAAGAGCTATAATGTAAGCAATATACTACAGCTGCAGTTCCAGAAGTGAAAAGCAATCTGTACACTGCATTGAATCCTAGAATTAGTTGCATTTTTACTATCACCCATTTTTAATTGATCATAGGGAAATACCCACTCCAAATTCCTTAGATGAGTAATGAGAAGGTCTACATGGACTGGGAATTGAAAGACAGCCTTTAAAAGGACTATAGAGAACAATTTATCAATGCCATACCTCTCGTGAAATATTGCTGGTTTTGACCTCTTGAATAACTGTACCAATGACAATGTGATCAACAACATCTGTGAAAGTTTTAAAAGGTAAAGAAGAATCAATTTTGTTTGTTTCCACAGTGACTACAAGATTTCCTCAATGACAATGTAACATATAATCACAAGTTTGGCTATAAACTTCAGAGTTAACTTTTTATTGTAAATCATAGGTTGACTAAATAGGTACCAGTGCAAACTCAGGGAAACTGAAAAAAGGCTGGCATCACCACTGAAAGTAGACCATCACATTTAGAGTGTAGAAGTGATAATCTTCAATCTCCGATTGCAATTTGAAATGAGAAAAGCTTAACTTACATGACCTGAGTCCCACAGCTTGTCAAAAATCTTCTTTTACTAACCTTTACTAATACCAGTCCTTGTAACAAGACCCCTGTAAAAAGGAATATAAGAAATGAATTTCACCCTCTTGAGGTTCTTGGCTCAGGTCAAGTTTTTACATGTCCTAATGTGTAAGACTTTAAAGGACATAATTCTTTACTATCTGTACATTTTGGTTTAAGACAGTACCAAAATAGTGTTATTAGTTGTTAAAAATTATATCCAAAACACTTTTCATACTTCTGGAAAAAAAAGAAATAATATCTCACACACATTCAATAGATATTCAGAATCTAAAGGCAAAACATACTCACTCTAATGCTCCTCTTTGAATATCATGTGACAGAAGATCAGCATAGCTAAAAATTAACCCCAAAACACATGTCAAAACAATTATTCCATATTTCATAAAATCAAAGTCACTTACATATCCTTGTAAAGACCTCATGCTATTGATTGCTGAACCCTTTCACTCCCAAGATCTCATTAGTAATTCTCTTTACCATTGGCCATATAGTTCTTGTGATGTTAGTATGGAGAATTTGGTATTGGATCAACCAATAATCCCCTAATTAATATTTTTCTTTATTCTCATCTCTTGTCTGCTTGATACTGTATTGATATTGTAAGGAGAAATTCTGTCTTGGTCACTCATGGGATTTAAAGGGTTAAGAGGTTAAAAGGATTCTCTGACTGATTATAACCATTAACCCTTTCAACCCTAAGAGAGACCAGCATCTCATTTCTCTATACTGTAATATTGCCAAGTCATTCATTAAGATCATAAGAATAAAGGAAATGATAGCCAACCTAAGAATCTTTGATTGTTAACCAAATTCTCCTGGTCAGTACAGAAGGGAATGTATAGAGAAGAGTATGGAGAATATGGATACTGATGTTAGGGTGTAAAGGGTTTACCACTTGCCTGGTTCCAGCCATAAGAAATGGAGTTCGCACTCCCTCCACTAAAACAATGTTTCTCCCAGCTGCTTTGGAAGGTGCACCTGTATACAAAGGGACATTGAAAATAGACTAGTGTATCAGAAATATTAACAATGTCTTAAAGGATTGAAATTTTAAAATTATTCGAAGGTGACCTCTTTAACAATTTTGTACAAATACTCTAATTGCATTGTACTTTTATATCCTTCTTTTGTCCCACATAGGTCCTCATTTGCACAAACGTGTGGGGTGAAGGGATTGGAAAATACAAGAGGAAAATTACCTTTGGAAGTGGATTTTTGCTTTTGTGATGAACTGGCACATCTTAGGAATACTACAAAAAAGAGATAGTAATGATGATATTTTGAGAAGACAAATTTCGTAACGAATGAAAGCTTCAATAGAACGTTCTCAAACTTTCCTGCTGTTTTAAGAATCTTCTATTTAACAACTATTTAAGAAATTATAGAGATCCTTAAAAAGTGCGCATAGATAATTATGCCGTGAAATTATCTGACTTTGGACTTAGTGAGAAGAAAAAATTCTCAAGAAGTCTGGAATGCGTGAGATTTAAGATCGTCTTCAAAAACCAAAGATATGAAACTGTGCGAAAATTGCCTACGCAAAATCAAAGATAATCAGAGGAAATAGAAAAATATGTGCTCTTAACGGTCTCTATCGCGTGAATTGAAACTTTCGTTGGACTTTGATCGTAGTCACGGAAAATCCAAATGAAACGTACGTATCAATCTGAAACAGTTTCTTCTTCCTAAGATGGTGAAATGATTGAAAAAACAAAACAATAAAAACCCGCTTAATGACAGAAACTTACAAGCATTCACGCCTCTACTCTGAGAGTTTCTGGCAAAGGTTCGTAAAAGTTTTCCACTACAGTACACGCTGGCCGCCATATTGGTTGTTGGTGAAGGTAACCACGCCTCCAATATTTGATTGTTTGCGAAAGTCAGTTGATGAGGGTCAATCAAGGTCATGATAATCCGACCGTGTCCGAGTTCTGACGACTATTTTACGACTCTGGGATTATGGGCTATCTTATTGCTGGGGCCATGTGCATTGTAGTTTGAAGTCAGTAAGGATGCATGATCTCGTAGAAATTGATTTGTGACCCTAGTAATGTAAGGATGATTGAATAGCACCTGAAGGAAGACAGTGAAGTTCTGCATTTTTTTGTCCAAAGCGATGGCGATGCAAGTGAGATTCCCGTTTGGGAGTACAGTGAGCGTTTTGGTAACTCACGTGGAGGAGGCTTCAGGAAACTTCTTCGTTCAAATCAACGATGAGGCGGGAAAATTAGATGCAGTCATGTCAGAAATTGAAGAAAACGTGCTCTCAGGGAAAGCTAGACCGCCAAACGCTTCAGAAATTATGGTCGGCTGTATTTATTTGGCGCAATATAAAGAAGATAATCGATGGTACCGATGTCGCATCTTGCGGGTGAATCCAGCAGATCAGCAGTGTGAAGTTTTCTTTTTGGATTATGGAAACACAGATTTCGCGCCATTAAGTTGTATAAGAATCGCAGAAGAGAAGTTTTGTGACATGCCGCCGCAGTGTTTCGAATGTGAGCTTGAAGGAGTTGATCTTCGTCGTGAAAGTTTTGACGAAACGGTGACCTGGCTAAACGAAACTATCTTGGAGCAAGAACTTTATTGCAAGGCTGTTCAGCTTAAGAAACAGAACGTTTTAGTTACACAACTTTTCTTTGATGAGAGAGGTACCAAGTCTGTCTTTGATGAGATGCAAGGTGGAGGGCTAAGCGCTGCTGCTGCCGTTCCTCTGACGAACGGAGGTAACACATTACCTCAACAGCCAAACCTGAGGAGGGAGGTGAAATACAACACAATCACTCTCTCTCCTGATTCATACAATGACCTCAGTGTAACTTGGGTGGATGATCCATCACATTTCTGGTGCCAACTCTTGGGAAACACAGATGTATTAGAGAAATTAATGGATGATCTTGCTGAGGTCTATGCTAATCAAGATCCAGCAGCCTTACCTTTACAGTCATGCACTGTGGGATATCCCTGCTGTGCAAAGTTCTATGAGGATGATTCATGGTATAGAGGAATAATCACTAATGTCAGTTCGATTGCTACTGGACAGATTGAAGTTAGGTTTGTAGATTATGGCAATACGCAGCAGACAGAGTTGTCAGATGTCAGAGATCTGAAGGACAATTTTCTCAAGATTCCATGTCAAGCTTTGAACTTTGCCATAGCTGGGGTTGAACCTGACAGTAAGGATGGACTGTGGGCTGATGAAGCCAAAATGTTGTTTGAGAAGCTGATTAAATTTAAACATGTTGTGGGACTTGTAACCAGTGTAGAGAACAGTGGGAAACATAGAGTTAAACTCATAGACACAACCTCAGATCTTGATATGGAACTGAACCAAATTCTCATTGCCGCTAACTTTGGGATTAAGTCAACAGACACACCCCTTGCAACCATGACAACAGCAACTGCATCTGCCTTAATGTCATCTCAGACAAGTGCAAAAAAATCAACTCAACCTGTTTTTACTCAAGAAAATGTCACAGTTGGGGTAGAGGAGAAAGTTTTGGTCACCAGCATCATCAATCCTTCAAAATTTTACTGCCAGCTGTTCAAAAATGGACCCAAAGTTGAGAGCTTGATGCAGGGTATAAATCACCACTATACGAGACTTGGAGCAAATGAAGAACTTCTGTCATCACCATCTCCTGGCGATCCATGCTGTGCCCAGTTTTCAGAAGATGGTTGTTGGTACCGTGGTTTGGTTTTGGGAACTCAGTCAAAGGGTGTCACTGTTCAGTATGTTGACTATGGAAACTCTGAAACACTACCAATCACCAAGATTAAGAAACTCATTCCTAAGTTCTCTGACCTACCACAACAAGGTATTGAATGCTCCTTGAACAGAATCAAGCCCAAGTTTGTTTCTAGAGACCTGAAGTGGAGACAGCAGGACTCTCAAAAATTTGTTGATTTGGCTTTGGAGAAAGAGGGCATGCTTGTGGCTGTAACTCAGGACAGTAGAGGCATCTGTCGAGTTGAACTTCGTGTAAGAAACAGAAGGGAAGATCAGAATATTAGTGATCAGCTGGTCCTTAGTGGAAATGCAGAGCTTGCAGAAGGGGCATTACCTACTTCTGAAAATTGGAATGATCTCAAATCACAAACAATTCCTGCACCAGATCTGAAAGTTGGCCATTTTGAAGATGTAATTGTCAGTTACATTGAAAATCCATGCAACTTTTGGTGTCAGCTACAGAAATCTGTGACAGAGCTTGAGTCATTAATGAGAGAAATCTCTGAAGTCTATGGTTCTGGAGGACAAAGAAATGCTATCTCTAAGCCAGTTTGTGGTAAGATTAACTAAATTATCATGTATACTTGTTTTAATAGTAAGAATAAATTTCTGGTCAAAATGGTCTGAATTAAGTTTGATTGGTAATTCTGTTTGTTCCAGGTACATTTTTGTGATCCCTAAACAAACTAGTTTGAATTAAGGGTAATGTAGTTTTATCAGTGAGGTTATGATGTAAATTGGCCTCAGTAGAGAGATTCAAAGCTGATGTTTTAAGTGTTTTTCCTTTGTCAGAGCAAAAAAGGGCTAGCACTCGAAACATTGGCTTTGAAACTTTCTATGGTGGACAATTCGCATTGTCAACTTGTTGGTGATACCAAATTACCCTGCTGTACTCTCCCACCAATGCAGCACCACAGTTTCTTTAGAAACTCATCCCCTTCATTATAGTGTGAATTCGTCTTAACCTCGTAAAATTTTTAACTCTAATATACATATTTATTCAAAAACTGTTAAACTTTGTAGTAACACAAATAATTACAATGTTTTGGTTTTTTAGGGCTAGGTTAGAAAAGGGATGTTCTAATGCCAATTTCTTTCTGATTAGTATTTAACCAAGTGTCAAAAGAAGTGGGAGATTGCTTTACTTTTGCTTTACTTTGTGATGTGACTGGTTGTGAAAATTTGACCCTCTTTCTCAACCAATCATTTTCATGAATTTGGTTTATGATTGTGGAATATATAAGAAAGGTAAAAAAATAAGAATTACTTATCACTGAGATGTATAGAGCTGAAGAACTAGGAAGTGTTTTTTATTTTTTAATTTGTTTTTCTTGATGTACATGCAGATATGCTTTGTTGTGCCCAGTTTTCTGAGGATAATAAGTGGTACCGAGGTAAAATCACTGGCATTGAGAAAGGAGGCCAAGTTGAAGTCCATTTTGTTGATTATGGAAACTTTGAAAACCTACCACTTAGCCGAGTGAAGAAGCTGCAAACTGAGTTCTTGAAACTTCCAACACAAGCTGTGAAGTGTGCATTGGCTAAAATCAGTCCCTCTCATCAGGACTTGCTCTCTGATGATGTCATGAACAGATTTGAAGAGTTGACATTGGATAAAGAACTTGTTATGATGGCTGACAAGTATGATGAAGTGAGTGGTATATTTCTGGTAGTTCTACTTGATACTACGGAAGGGAAGAACTTTGACATTGGTAATGATCTTCAAACTATTATGGCTCCAAGCTCAACCCGTGAAGAAGCTCACATTACTGCTCTACAGGTTCAACCAGGTACTACAGAACGTGTGTTTGTCTCTTCAGCATCAAGCCCAACAAAATTCTTCTGTCAGTTATTGAAATCTTCTGAGTCATTAGATGTACTGATGAATGAGATGTTTGAGCATTATAACAATCTGGGTGCCCAACAGGAAAACATGTTGAAGCCATCAGTTGGAGAGTTTTGTGCAGCTAAGTTTACCCTAGATGATGGTTGGTACCGTGCCAAGGTCTTAGATGTCCAGGGAAGTAATGTTTCAGTCCTTTATATTGACTATGGAAACTCTGAAACTCTGTCATTATCGCGACTCAAGTTGTTGAACTCAAAGTTTCATCACCTTGCTGTTCAAGCAATTGAATGTACACTATCTGGGACTTTAAGGGAGTCTTCTGATCAAACATTTCTGGAATTTGTATCAGAGAAAGAATTTACTGCAAGAATCTTGAATGTCAGGAGTGGAGTGGCAGAGGTTGATCTGATTTCAAAGGACACCAATCAGTCTATCAGCAACATTTTCACCAACTCAAGTCCAACATCTCCTTCATCTGGTATTTCTCAGGTGCAGTGGAAACCTGGAGATACAGTTCATGTAGTGATCCCTTATGCTGAAAGCACTAAGAAGTTTTTTTGCCATAGTACAGCACACTCGCCAGAACTAGATGACCTCATGAACAAACTAGAAGAATGCTACAGTTCCAGTGTGGAGAACATTTCTTCTCTAAATGTGGACTCTGTATGTGTGGCATGGTATGATGGCTGGTACAGGGCAAAAGTGAAGCAAACTCAAGGAAGGGATGTCACTGTCAACTTCATAGATTATGGAGATAATGCAACAATCTCGCTTGACAATATTCGAACAATCAAGCCTGGATTTTCCTCTCTACCAGCACAAGCCATACAATGCTGTTTGAGAGGTTCCTCAGCCAATCAGGAGCCTGAGAATTTCAAGGAGCTGGTTGTTGAACAAGAGTTTAAGGCACAGGTTATGAGTGAAAAAGGCAACAGTGGTTATGAAGTTATCCTTGTGCCATTAGATGGCTCAGCACCACTAGGCCAACCACTTTCTAAAGAACCACAGTCATCAGCCTCACTAACCTTGAATGTGACAAACCTCCAGCTGAAACATGGTGACAAAGTAGATGTTTTCATCCCATTTGTAGTCAGTGCCCAGAAGTTCTATTGCCAACTTTCTAAAAATGAAACTGATCTAATTGAGCTCATGACCAAGTTGGAAGAGCATTACAATTCAAATCAAGAGAACTTAAATTCAATTGGTGTTGGTGCTTTCTGTGTGGCTCGTTATGAGGATGGTGGCTGGTACCGCGCTCAAGTCTCTCAATTTCAAGGGAACAGTGTGGAAGTATTTTACATTGATTATGGTGATTCTGCAACCATTCCACTTACCAGTGTAAGATCCCTGAAGCCACAATTCTCACTGCTACCAGCCCAAGCTGTGAGCTGTTGTTTGAAAGGGTTTTCTGCACAGCATGAATCTGAGAACTTTAAAGACCTTATTAATGAACAGCAGTTTAAAGCCCAGGTGACAAGAGTGAAATCAGAGAACACTTATGAGGTAGAATTGATGTTTGAAGATGGAACTACCCTCTTTACCAATGCAACAATGTCTGATGAAATGGAAACTTCTGAACCATCTGCAAGAGTGAGTAGCATTCAGCTGAATCCTGGAGAGAAAGTTAATGTTTTTATTCCATTTGTGGACTGTGCACAAAAGTTCTTTTGTCAACTCTCCCAAAACTCAAGCAACCTGGATGACCTTATGATAAAGCTGGAAGAACATTACAGTTCAAATCAGGAGAACCTGTCTTCAATCAGTGTTGGTTCTTTCTGTGTGGCTCACTATGAAGACGGTAGCTGGTACAGAGCACAAGTCACCAAAACTCAAGGGAACAGCGTAGAAGTTTTTTACATCGATTATGGTGATGCTGCCACAGTTCCTTTGACAAGTGTACGACCACTGAAGACAGAATTTGCATCATTACCAGCCCAAGCGGTTAGCTGCTGTTTGAAAGGCTACACTGCAAATCAAGAGCCAGAAAACTTCAAAGCCTTAGTTATTGAACAAGAGTTTAAACTTCAAGTACATGGCAGCCATGATCCTGGTGTCTATGAGGTTGAGTTGTTCTCTGAAGATGGATCAAAACTGTTTGCTGGATCACCTTGCAGTAAAACTGAGAAAGGTATTGTGTTTCTGCTGTGGTAGTCCTAAAAAACTATAATAGGTAACTCTCACAAAGTAAGTAAGTAAGTAATTTATACATATATATATATATATATATATATATATATATATATACTGTTCAACAATGAAGAAACATAAAGTACACACACTTTATGGAAGAAGTTAAGGAGAAAATAAGCATTGGTTGGCCTCTTTTCTTACCGCCACCTGTGTTGTCTTGACTGCAGGAGGTTATTTAAGGGGAGGCAGATTAATTGGATGCCAGTTTGCCCACCGGGGTTGTCCTTAAATACTGTGGACAAACCTGGGAAATGGAATCCAACAGAAGTCTGTAAAACTCAACAGTCATTATGTCATTCAGCTGTTAGTTATTTTAAGATGTCACAATACCTACTAGGTGTCACTTGACAGTCTATCAAATTGGCACTCAGTGCTTGATACTCAATGTTTGATACTCGATATCTGTAAGTTCAAGCTTTCTTAAGCTCCTTTTAAACTGTAGCAGAAATGTAGCTTACCATGGCAAATTAATTTGCTCTACATAGAAAAACATCTATACCAATGTTATGTGTCAATAGTTTAATACTGTTATGTTTATATTTTTTAAGGCTCTGAACCTCATGTGGAGATTAAAGTAGACTCATTTGTAGAGCTGTGCCCCACTGAATGTGTCAGTCCACATCTGTTCTACTGCCAGATTGCAACAGCAGATCACAAAGAGATACTGTCAAAACTGATGGATGAACTCCAAGAAACTTCTGTTGATGGTTGGCAAGAACAAAGCTTAGAAAGTCCTGCAGTTGGAATGAATTGTACAGCACTTTTTCCAGGTTTGTAATGTTAGACCATTATGTCTGCAACTTGACATTGAAATCGCAAGCATATTAACTGGACTGTAAATGTATTTTGGATTCCTACTTTTGGAACTATGAATAACTGCTTTATCTCAATTCTGTACCTGAGCAATACCAGTCTAATAATGGATCTAATCTAATGGATCTGTGGTTAGATATAGACAGTTCTCTGATTAAAGTGATATCACATCTCAGTAGTTAGCAAGGAAAATATTGCAATGCAGGTTTTCAGATACATTTGTTGGATAACACTTGTTCCATGCTATACTAACCAGGGCCAGGATTAGATGTGAAATTTTAGGGTGGAGACCATGCATTGCGTTTTTTGTAGCAACCCTACTGTTTGCTTAAACATTTGGAATATGGTGTTATTATTTTGCTCATTTTTTATGAATCCATAACTGGACTGATTGGCAACTTTGTATTTTTGTTTAAAAAAGTGGTTGTTTGTCAGAAAGGGTAGTTATGAGTCTATTTGGTTCAAGAGTGCAGGTTTAGAGAAGTTGTCAACTCATCTCCTTTTAACTCTTCACACCCAAACATCAGTATCCATATTCTCCATACTCTTCCCTACCTATTCCTTTGGTGCTGTCAAGGAGAAATTGTTTAACAGTCAAAGCCTCTTAGGTTGGTAATCATCTCCTTTATTCCAGTGATCTTTATGAATGATTCAGCAGTATTACTGTATGGAGAAATTAGTTGTTGGTCACTTTTAGGGTAAAAAGGGTTTGATATGAATAAACATTATTTGTAGAAACTGACACAATCTTACCTCTTCATACATTTACTTCCTTAAGATGATGACTTGTGGTACAGAGGAAGAATCACTAATATTGCAGATGATCAGTCTGTGGAGGTGTTCTATATAGACTTTGGCAACAGTGCAACACTTCCTTTGAGCAAAGTGAGGACAGTGAAAGAGGAGTTGTCACAAATTCCTGCTCAAGCCATCCAGTGTAGTTTATCATCCATCTCCCCTGTCAGTGGTACAGAGTGGCCACATGCCTCTGTTGAAAGGTTTAGCAGCCTAGTAATGCAAAAGCAATTGGTTGGAAAAGTGATCAAGAAAGGTTAGACAGCTGGCAAAGAAAGTCTTTGACATACAGACACAACATTTCCACAACCAAATACAATTTTTTTTAGGGTGCTAGTGTTGGAATCTTTGATAGTGTTTAGGTGTTACTGAGCTAATGGAGATTTACTACCAATTACGGTTATTGCTAATGTACTTTGCTTGGATAAATTTAGGTTAAGTCAAAGCTCCCAGAGAGGATTATGGGGATTTTAAATATTATTACTTGAAAACTCTATATACTTTTTGAAAAGATTTCAGAGTTATACATATAGTTTAAGCACTATACAACAAATCCGTACATGTATAGAAGAAAGATGCCATATAAACAAAGCAGATTCTTCAACCAACTCTAAAACTTTTTACACTTTTTAAAGAAATTTCAGAGCTATTTATTCAGCCCTGGTTAGCTATTGATAGCAGGATAGTCTACTTTTAGGCTTCTGACAGCACTACCCTGAGTTTTACTTTTGGTCATTTTAAAAGAAATGTACCCCGTCTCTCAAACCCATGTATGGGTAAACAAAATAGATTCTTCAGCTAACTTTTTGTAACATAGATAGACTTGAGTGAAATCAATAGATCTTTCCAATACCAAAGCATTTAGTATTATTTAACCGGTTTTTCTAATATGAAAGATATTTTCCAGTTAGATTACCTCCATAGCTTCAATGTTCCTCCTTTAAATCAATACAGGAAGTGAGGAAGGTCTGGAAATGGAATTGTTTGACACAAGTCACCAGTCAGTTGACATTAACATAGGTGACCTGCTGGTTAATGAAGGATTAGCTACCCATTCTACCACCAAACCTGCTCTAGCAGCTCAAGGAGTGACGGGAAGTGAGGAATTTACCAAACCTGTGGTAAATTGTGGTGAAATGTATGATGTTGCCATTTCCCACCAGTCCTCCCCTGGAAAGTTTTACTGTCAACTGGAGAATATGAAAGATCAACTTGATGGGAGTAAGTATTTGCTAAACACTCGATATGGACATAAGATGGTTTGATAATTTCGTAGTATTAAGCTAGTGTTATTATTGATGTTGTTTGTCTTCACCAGCTTTCAAAATACTGATAATACTAGCTTTGTATGGGGCATGGAAAACCTGTAAAGTCATAGTATTTTATCATATCCCAGGCCTGGAAAGTCATGGAGTTTGATTGTACATTATGTAAAGTCTTGGAAATTGGCTTAAGATCATTTTTCTAACAACAGTAAAGCAGGAAATATTGAGCTTGATTACCATTACTTTTCACATTATTTTGAAACTAATGTCTGGATAGAATGCAATGGAAAACATCAATGAAGTCCTAGGAAAGATCAAGAAAAGTTAAGGAATTCTATAGGCATAAGAGATAATAAGCTTTGAAATTCTCACTTTGTAGTTCTCATTAATCTTCCCTGTTTCTTACAGTGATGATTGATCTGAATGATTACTACTTCCAATTGGCTGAAACAGAGGGCTGTCTTGTCTCACCAATAGTTGGACAGCCGTGTGTAGCACTTTACGAGGATTCATGGTATAGAGCAAAAGTGCAGAAGATCTCTGTGAATGATATCACTGTTCATTACGTCGACTACGGGAATGATGAGACATTGAAGCCATCCAGTGTAAAGCAGATGTCCCCCTTGTTCATGAAGACATGTGAAGTTGCTATTGAATGTTCGTTAGATCTGAACAGGAGTGAGTGGCCAGAGGAAGCCATTGCACTATTTGAAAGACTGAGTACTAAAGACGAGCAATTGATCATAAAGATTCTTGGCTCTGATAGTGGACGATATCAAGTAAAGTTGTTTGATAAAAATGCTCATTGTTTAAGTGAAGAAGTACTCCATGTGATCTCAGGAGCAGGTATTAATTTTAATTTCTCACAATAATAAACTTAGCTTTGTGATGTACATGTAAGCCCTCATGCCTTGAAGATATGAATTACTAAAAATATTTGACTCTGATGTCAATCCTTTTCATGTTTTGTGGGAATTGTTATCCCTTAAATTCCCATCAGTGATTATCAAGTAACATCTCCATACAGTGACAACAATTCTCTTGTTACCTAACAAGTGACAATAATCAACAAACTTGTTTGCTAGGGTTTTATCTTGAGTTCTCTCTTGGTTACATATAAATGAAAGGTGGGTGCTGGGGTCACCCAGGGGCTCTCATTGTCAATAGAGTAGAGAAAGGCTTGAAAGTGACTACTACCACACTACTTTGGAAGTCGTGAAACTGTTAAGTGTGAAATTCCGTTGTTTCCTTGAGGAATTTATGTTGTGGCAGGCATTGGCATACAGATGTAGATTCAATTTTCTTTTCTTTTTTTTTTTTAACCTAGCACAAGAAACCCAAAGAGAAACAAGAAACTTTGAACAGCTGCCCCTTCAACCTGGTGATGTGAAGAATGCCTATGTTGTTCACATTGAAAGCCCAAATGATTTCTACATCCAGTTGTCAGAAACCTACCCTGAGCTTGAACAGATGATGGCAAAGATTGCTGAAGTGTACTCTGGCCTTGCTGATGATTTGAGTCCTGGGGATCTTGTTGTGGGCCATCCTGTTTGTGCCCAGTTTGCAGAAGATGGTGGCTGGTATAGAGCAATAATACATAGTATGCCATCAGACCATAAAGTTGAAGTACACTACATTGATTATGGCAATAGTGATGTAATTCCTTTGACAGATCTCCGTCAGCTTAGCAGCAGGTTTTTCAGCCTTCCTATGCAGGCAATTCATTGCTGTCTTGATCTTCCAAGAGTAGAGTCTTTCAAGGAGAATGTAGAAGAGAAGGAGCTCAAGGTGAAATTTCTTTCAACAGAAAGGGGAAAATGGAAGGTTAACTTATATGATGACAATGGAATTATTGGCAGCTCAGATGAAGCACTTTTTGCGGCGGCATCAGAATATTTGGATGACATATTTGAGAAAAGAGAATTTCTACAATCTCAAATTACTCAAGGATTGAAGCAGAATGTGTATGTTAGTCACATAGTGAGCCCAGATGAATTCTATGTGCAGTTTGCTACTGGATTGGATGAATTGACATATTTGAGTGAAGAGATGAATCGATTCTACTCCTTGCACCCATCAAAAAATGAGCTGAAGAAACCATCTAAAGGAATGTCTTGTTGTGCAAAATTCAGCCAGGATCATGGCTGGTACAGAGGTACAGTAAAGGGAGTAGCTCTGCATGGGGTAGAGGTTGAGTTTGTAGACTATGGAAACTGTGAATTTGTGAACCCCATTGATGTAAAAGATGTGGAGAAAGCATTCATGCAGTTACCTCAACAAGCTGTCCTGTGTGCGCTTGATGTTACCAAGGACCAATGGTCAACTGAAGAAATAAACATATTTATGTTGGTGGCTCTTGACAAGACCTTCGAGGCTAAGTTCATTACTCAAGATGGACTGAAATGGAGGGTATCTTTACAAAGTGGTGGAACATCTGTTGTAGACATGTTCATAAACAACAGTGATGCAGATACTCTGAAAACTAAAAGTGTGAGTGTTCCAGATGTGCAAATTGAGACTTTCCTTCCAATGAAACTTTCACCAGGCCAAATTGAAGAAGTTTACGTCAGCCACTTAACAGAATCTGGGGATTTTTATGTTCAGTTGTCTAAAACATTGTCAGATCTAACCCTTATTGGAAATAAAATGAGGGAAATTTATGATCAGCTAAGCCCCACTGCAGAAGCTATGGAGGTATGCTTCGTTGATTCACTATGCTGTGCTCAATACAGTGAAGATTCTCAATGGTACAGAGCTTGCATCACAAAAGTAGTTTCTGATGCTAAAGTGGAAGTCCACTTTGTTGATTATGGAAACACAGACACCCTTCCAGTGGCAGCCATAAAACAGCTCAGACCTGATCTCCTTAACTTTCCTGTACAAGCAATCAAATGCCGACTTGAGGGATCCAAAGATGTTTGGACAGAGAGGGATGTGGAACAGTTTAGAGCTAATATTTTGGAGAGGCCTTTACATGTGACATTTACCAGGAAAGAAGAGGAAACTTGGTGTGTGACAATCCAAGAGCTTGACGTGTTTTCCCCAAAAGCAAAATTAGCATTGAAAGAGAGGTATACCAAGGAAACCTTTGGTGTTGACAAACGTGAGGAAGCATATTTCCTTTTTGCTGATTCTCCTGACTGCTTCTGGCTTCAGCCCGTGAGAACTGGAAATGCTTTGGGAGAACTGATGGAACAGATCAGCACTCTATCCAATAAGGTATTAGAGAGATCCCAACTTCAAGTGGGACAGCCTTGTCTTGGTAAATATACAGAGAATGACATGTGGCACCGTGCTGAAATCCTCCAGGTGCAGGATGATGCTAATATAACCCTATCCTATGTAGATTATGGTAATTGTGAGATCATTCCGCTGGACAGGCTGCGACCAATTAGTGAAACTCATCTGAAACTTCCAGCTCAGGGTATTTGTTGTCACCTAGCAGAAGTACAAGGTGTTGATCCAGACAGGATCACAGAATACCTGAATGAGCAACTCTTAGAAAAGGTGGTCGAAGTTGAAGTTCAGAAACAACATCCAGATAATTCCTATACAGTAAAGCTGTTCAATCCTGGAGAGTCACTGTCTCTTAATGAGCAGATAGTCAGAGAATGCCTTGGTGATACATCCCTATTTGAAGAGAGGATGTTTGAACATTCCTCTCCACAAAAACTTGATGCAACTGAAGAGAGGAAAACTTTTACATTACCAGACCTACAGTCAGGTAGCAAAGTACCAGTGAGTTTGGTCTCGGCATTTCTGCCAGCAGAGATGCAGCTGCTGTTAACTGAGAGGATTGATGAACGAGACCAGATGATGAGAGAGATAACATCTATGTATCAAGCCCTTGATGAAAATGAACTTACACTTGAAAATCCAGTGGTCGGAATGTTGTGCTGTGTACCCTTTTCAGATAAGTGGTTCAGAGGTGAAGTTATTAGTACTTCTGCAGATGATACTGCCACTGTGAAGCTTGTTGATTGTGGAACTAATGAGAAAATACCTATTTCTGCCTTGAAATTGCTTAAGGATGAGTTTGTGAAAATGCCGGTTTTCGTTGTGGAAAGCAGTTTAGCAAATGTGAAGCCAAGCTCTGATGATGGTCAGTGGTCACCAGAGTGTTCTATTGCATTGGAATCCCTTTGTCGCTCCAAAACATTGGTAGCTGAGATCACACAAGTATTTGGAGAAATGATGGAAGTGATTTTGAATGATGAGAGTGGAAAACAAATTAATCAAAGTCTTGTAGATTTAGGGTATGCAAAGTCGTGTGAGATCCAGGATGATTTCTTGGGAGAACAGCCTGGGTTAAAGTGGCAAAAACTGGAGGTTGGTGCAAGCCTTGACGTGTATTTGATGTCAGTGAAAGAGTTGGACTCCATTCAGTTACAAATGGTTGACCCTGATGAAGGTTTAGCAAAAATGATGGATCAACTGATGGCAGTATATTCTAATTTGGGTGAAACAGAAGAAGTCATTGGGAACCCCAGGGTGGGGCAAGTTTGCTGTGCCCAATATTCTGAAGATTTAAATTGGTACAGAGCAGTCATTACTCGTGTGAGTCCAGAAGGAGTTGAAGTCAAGTTTGTAGATTATGGTAACAGTGATATTGCTGTGATGATCAAGCAACTTCAGGATGAGTTTTTCTTGCTTCCTGTTCAGTGTATTGATTGCTGTCTCCATGGCATTTTGTCAGCCTCTGAGCCCACTAATGAAGACATTGCATTAAAATTAATGGAATTATACGAATCTAAAGAACTGAAAGCTGAAATTGTCAATGTTTCTGGTGACTCTGTGGGTGTCAATTTGTTTGATGAATCTGGATTGTCTGTTGCTGACGCTCTTGTAAAACTTGGACTTGCGTTGTCTCAAGCAACTCAGCTAGAAAAAGCAAGAAAGATTTCAATCTCAGAAGATGGCAAAATAGTTTACAATTACCCAGAATCTGGAGAGTGCCTTCATAATGTGAGTCTGGTGTCAATAAAGTCACCAAGTAACTTCTGGTGTGAGCTGACTGATTTCAGATCTGAGCTCAAGTCCTTATCGGAAAAGATTGAGGCTTTTTACCAGTCATTAGGTGAAAACGACTTGAGGGTTTTGTGCCTTCAAGTTGGAGACACATGCTGTGCTCAATTCACTGACAACAACAAGTGGTGTCGTTCTCAAGTGACTGAAGTCCTTTCAGATGGCCAAGTCTGTGTGTGCTCAGTAGATCATGCCAAACAAGAAACCCTGACAATAAACAGAATCAAGAAACTTGAGGCAAAATTTGCTGTTCTTCCTGTGCAGGCTTTGTATTGTAGTATTCAAAGTATTGAGCCTCCTCATAAATACTATGATGAAGACTGGAGCAGTGATGCAGTTGAAAGATTTCAAGAACTTTGTCAGGGAGAAGATATGAAAATTAAGATCAAAGAGCAAGATGGTAGTGTTACTCTCGTTGAGCTAATGAACTCTGCTGGTTTATCTATAGGCAGTCAGCTTTTGTCTGAGGGATTAGCCGAGGCTAGATCTCCCCTGGTGGAAAGTCCTATGAGAGATTCTCCTAATTTGTCAGCTGAACAAATGAAAGAATCTGACCAGGAAAGTTCTGAAGAGAATGCCTTTGAGGATGCTGAATCTGACCTTGATGTAGTGGAAAAGTTAGCCAATGTTCATGCAGATAGTGAGGAAGCAAAAGGAGAAAAAGAAGATGAATTTCAAGACAGTAGTGATCATGTTGTGGAAGACACTTCTAGAGAAAATATTAAAGGAGAAGCAGGTCTAGTTCAGGAAGAGGCACCTTTAGAAGCAACTGTAGAACAACTTTTAAAAGATGAAGGAAAGGAAGGAGAGGAAAAATTAGAATCAGCTATTCCAGAAGAAACTTTTGAGGGAAAATCAAAGAAGAGTTCAAGCCCTGAAAGTGTAGAGGGTTTAGAAAAGGTTGACAAAGAAGTTGCACATGATACAGCAGTCAGGATGGAAGGCAGTGAAACTGATGAACACTTGCAAGTAGTCCTTGAAGGGGTAGATAAAAAACAGACCAAGGCACCAGTAGGGGAAGAAACAAGTGAGTCGAACAGTGCAGATGCTAATGGAGATTTTGGAGATCCAGTTCAAAATGAGTTTGGGGAACCAGAGATGGTTAGAGATCAAGGTACTTATGAGGTGCATGAAGATGAGGTTGAAACAGGAGTGGAGCATGGGCAAGAGTCAGCTCAGGAAGTTTTGACAGAAGGATTCTCAGAAGAGGATATTTCAGGTACATTGAAATATCATGTTAAAATTAGTTAAATAAATATTGTCTTAAATATGATTTATCCTATTTTTGTTTAGTGGTGTTGAGTTCAGTCCTTTCAGTAGCATCATCCACAATTGAAATGTCAGCTCTTTCAAACCCAAGCTATCAGCTTGGAAACTCCTCATATAGGTTTCAAGACAGTTTTGTGGAAAAATTATGATTCACCTTGAGACCCAAAATTCTGGTGATATTGCCAGAAATCATTCCTTGTTTGCAGTAGTAGCTATTGAAAGGACTGACTAGTGTTCTGAAGGGAACTGTTTTATTCTCATAATTTTTATTATGTTCCCAGTGGTTATTAGTTAGGCATTAATTCTTCCCCTATTTCCAATTTTTTTTCTTTATTTAAATGCTCTACAATCAGCACAGTGGCAACTACTGGTTGGGTTTTAACTACATTGATACATAACCCCACAGATTCCTATCTGTGATTTTAGCCTTAAAAAGATATTACCATGCAGTGGCCCTACAGCTAGCATGTCAACAGAGGCCAATATATTGTGATATTGGGTGAGACTTGTACTTCACTGGGCTTATCTTAACCCAGTGTTGGAAATGGGAACAAGGTTGCTGTTAATCCTATAACTCCCAGAGGTGATTAACATGTAACTTCTCCCTTCAGTATCCAAACATAATCCAGCAAGAAGGTAACAAGAATACTGAAACTACCCAGGTAGAAGTTGTTGTCTTGATATAACATCAAAGTCATGCAACTAATTTACAAGGAAATGTTTCACAGGTTGAGGTGAGAATTTACAATCAAATCATGGGAGTTAAATGGTTGAGAAGATCTATTAAATCCTGGGGTGGAGCAGGGGTAAGAGGTGATAACTTGTATTGGGCCAAGCATCTCTAAGAAAATGGAATAGGTAGGGAAAATAACTGTTAATATATACATTAAAGAATAACAGAAAGGAAATGACTTCCGTAATAGATATTATTCATTTCATTCATTCCAGAAATTACAGGGAGTGCTGAGGAAGATACCACAGCAGCAACAATAACAGTGGATGAGAACAGGACTGAGGAAGAACGGGTAAGTTCAGCAAGTCCACTATACAGTCCACCTTCCAGCCCTGCTGTGTACATACAACCGGGGGGAGAAGTTCAATTTACCAAGGAAAAGTCACCTGGTAAAGAGAATCAAGGGAATTGAATTAGAATTGTTGAAATAATTTTATCAAAAACAGAGAGACAGTGAGACAGTGAGACAGTCTAGGCTTCAAATTGATTATAAGAGAAGATAGAAGTTCATTTTGTCACACAGCAAAACAGGGTTGCAATGTAGGCTCTTTTCTGTATTTACATTATTTGATCATGTTATAAGTGCTTTTTATGCACACAATTAGAAATAATTTTTAGTAGAATTTTGTAGGATTGATAACTATTGTGGTTTTTTCAATATTAATTTTCCATCATTGGTGTCATGTATATCTTTTGTTACTTTTGATTTGACTGTGTGTTGGAGTGAAGATACTGTACTTGTTGGTGTAGTTTAGTGAGACCACGCAGGTAAAATGATGGAACTATATGTAGATGAGCTAGGGGTGCTTTTAGACAGCAGTCAAGATGGAAGGCAGTGAAACTGATGAACACTTGCAAGTAGTCCTTGAAGGGGTAGATTATTCTTTGCTATTGTTAACCTTCTGCTATACTCACTTTCATGGCTTTAGTACTCAGAACTGAGGATGGAAATTTAAACAGAGTAGGATTCTCTGGTTGTGTACTTTGATTAAGTGGCATTTTTTAAGGAATCACAAATTGAATATTGTAGTACAGGAAAATGTGTTTTCTTTTGGTCTCACTGAGTGCCAGAGTGATTTCTCTGAATTACTGATTTTATCAATTTGGTAATTGAAATGGGATAATTAACCTCATTAGTAACCTTGTATACCCTAACATAAGTATGCATATTCTCTATACATTTCCTTTGGTTTGACTAAGAGAGTTGGTTCAAAAATCAAGTGCTTCTTAAGTTGGTGATCATTTCTTTGAGTCTCAAGAACTTAATGTTTCATTCAGGGATGATCCTGTATGGAGAAATTAGATGCTAGTCACTCTAAGCAGTGGAAGGGTTAGGTGGAAATCTGACTTAAAAAGTTTGGGCATAATACTAAATTCTTGTTCTATTACTAAAGCTTTAAGAAATCCACTTTCCTAATTACAAGAATTTAATTTCATGATTAAGGTTAATGTGCACATAATTGATGATGATCATTAATTGTTAATAGTAACTAATCAGTTATCAGTAGTTAGTGGCAAACCTAATTTCACTTTTAGTTATTTGTGTGTTTTGTAAATGAGTGAATCTTTCATAATAAAGTGTAAGTGCTTTTAATTCTTAGTTGATTTTGTACTGATTGCTATTGACTTTTTAATGATTGCATGTGTCAGATTAATTTTTGTTTATGTATTTGAGTCTTGTGGAGTGAAGCAATGCATGCAAGGAAAGTGATTAAATTAGCCTCTTGACTCCTGATACCACATTCCCTGGCAATACCCACAGGGAACCCACACAAATTATTTTGCAGTTTATGTGGGATCTTTGTGATTATACCCAGGCAATGTGATGGACCACAATATCTGCTTTGTTTTGAGAAAATCAATCCTTAAAAGGTGCTCTTTAGACTACTCTAACCCATACTCTCATTTCCACGGTCGATACTTGAGTGGTACTACTTTAGGTGGCTCTGTAGGCATGATCCGGATCAAGATCAGTGATCCTTGACAATGTAGATAAGGTTCATTAAAAAAGCATGATGAGGACTATTGGTGCATGCATTCATAAGTATCTTAGATCCCCTTGATCGTGTGGTTGGTCTTGGATTAGTAATCCAGATCTGGATCACCAAAAAAATAAAAAGGTAAACTTACTTTATAAACTCAAGTCAACATGCATAGAAACAAGCAAAGACAAACTCCATATCACACTTTATTGTATAAACACCAATGAAATACCAAGTGATGCCAAAACATGATATCTTCACAGGTGAAGATGACATGTTATCTTTACCCATAAAAGATCACTGTTGCTATGGTTACATTTAAAAGATTGCACCTTTTTATGCAGCACCTTTGATTTAGTATTTCATCGGTGTTTATATAATAAATAGGATATTACATGGCCGCTTGGAGATACAAAATTCCTCTTCTTGTTTTGAAAAACATTTCACTTGTTTCACACTTGAGAAATTTTACATCTCTGCACGGCCATTTAATGTCCTTTATATTTCTGTATTCAGGCACAACCTGGAAAACTTGGTTGAGCAAATGAACTAATGCCTTTTGGATAGATTTCCCAGTAAATGGATTAAAAGGCAAAGGCGTGGTTTGTTCTGCTAGTCCAAGAGGGTGATTTCCCTCAACAAACAGGGCATTTATATAATTTTGCTGAGGGAACTCTGAAGGTTTGGATTTATTTCAAAAATAAGATGAGAAGTCATTGTCATACAATAAAAAGCAAAATGTGTTTTAGCTTGCATAGCTAACAGGTCGTTGGATGCTTCATTAAAATCAAAGTGGCGAAGCTTCTAAAACGACATGCAAGGCTTGGAGTTTGGATATATTAATTTCTTCCATTTAAGCCTCTTACGGCTTCACCACACCATACTTTAAGGCATGCCAAACTGCCAGCTATGCAGGCTAGAAATGAAATTCACTCCTTCGTGCAATGTGCTGTGAAGCAAGGCAAGTGATTTCACTGCAGTAGTTTAACCATTTCTCTACTACAACTAATGTAAAATTATGTGTACCAAGAATGATACATTTTTATGGTGAAAATCCTCTTGATACATTCAGTTTACAAGCTCTATGTGTGTAACATATTTACAGTGTGCCTCAATGTATTTTTCTTGCAGTTAAAAGAATCCAAACCCAAGATTTCTGAACAAACAATTGTTGTTGATGAGTCTGCTAAAATGTTTTTAGAGGAATTGGTGACTGATGTATGTAAATCTTTAAATGAAACAAAAGAGGAACATGAGGAAATAAAGAAAGACTGGAAAATTGAAAGTAAGGCTTAATAATTTCTTGATATGGTGGCTTATTAAACCATGAAGGGTTTGTTTATTTGTTTTTATTTTTACTTCTCATTGACTCCTTGGGATGTTGTCCTTTTCTCAGAATGGCAGTTGTGATTTCTTTAGTCTTGGTTTTGCAACAAAAAACACACCATTCTACAAAGAAATTACCTTTTGCTTACTTAAGGTGGTGAAAGGGTTATTTGTCACGCACAAGGAACAATATTTCATGAAATCATTCACATTAGTGAGAGCTTTCCTTACCTGAGCTTGTGTAGAAAGACCCTTTCCCTTTTCTGTTTTATTTACTTTCAGTTGAGGCTGTTCAGATACTAAGTGTGTTATTATGTTGCAGTTGGCAAAAACTGAAGTGTTTTCAGATATTAAGTGTACTATTATGTGGCAGCTAGTAAAAACTAAAGTGTCTTAAGCTAACAGAACATTTTGTTAAACATGATTTAAAACCTAACAGAAGAAGCAGAAGAACAACCAGATGACATTGCAAGCTCTGATACATCATGCTGTGATGATGCAGAAGAAAATATGTTGTCTGATGAGGCATTGGATAAGTTGGATAAAGAGCTGGAAGGAGAAAGTCCAGATGGAAGGGACCTTGATGACACTAACATGCCTGTTTTGGTAAGTGAAGTTGTTGGCCCTGACATGCATGAGTGGTTAGTAGTGATCTCTGAATAGATTACTGAGTTTATGCTCATATGGAGCAGTTTTGCCATGATAAACCCAGCTACTGGTAATTTGTTGAACAATGATAACTGCAAGAAGTTACAATCATGTACACTGGTAGATAAACTGTCCACATAATAAAACTTTTTGAGAGTTGTTCTACAGTAAAAAAAAAATGTATACAACAATTCCATGGTGAAGTTCAGAGTTTTTTAGGTAAAGGAATGAGTTTTCAGTATCACCAAAACTATATGAACCTAAGTCAAGCCTTGTTCAAGTACCATTGCTTATGAGCCTGTTGCATTGTTTTGTAAACTGTCTTTACTTGATGGGGCAACTTTTCATGAAATAACTGTAAACAATTATGGTACACCCATGAAATGGTTCCTCCTCCAAATAAGATTCTGAGTGTCGGTTTTGATGGATAAGGGAAGGAAAGCCTTGAGAAAAACCCTCATGTAAGGACTAGAACAGGAACAAATGCAACTCCAGTGTTAGGCCTGGTTTGGAAATTAAACTTGAGCCATGTCTGTGGAAGGCCAGTCCACTCACCACTTTCCCTAATTAGAATGAGACTAAGCAATAGTAGGTTGCTTGGATATGCAAACACCTAACCCTTAAACTCCCAGATCTCATTAGTAATTCTCCTTTCTGTCTGCTGTACAAATTTCATGATGTTAGTTGGGAGAATTTGGTATTGGATCAACTAATAGTCCTCTGATTGACATTTTTCTTTGTTCTCAATGCTTGTCTGCTTGATAGGAAACTGATCAGGAAACTGACACTCGTGGGAGTTAAGATGACAGGTTAGCATAAGCCCATGAAGAAAATGAAGCAGGAGACAGCATAACTGATGAATGGAAAGTTATTTATCATAGTTAGTTAAGCTTTAGTTTAGTTGCTTTTTTGATTTACAAGAAAATGATATTACATATAATATTTGGAATTTTTTTCAGTGATAATTTGTTGCTGATGTTTTCAGATCTCTAAATATCAGTAATTGTGATTTACATCTTATTGGCATTTATGTGTGTCCTCAAGATGACAATTTTTCAAATAGTTTGTAAAATTGTTCATGTTTAAAATCTTTTTTTGGACAACTAGCAGGCAAAACACTTTTTTCTGCATGGTTGCAATCAATCAGTGGTGTTATTGGGCACTGTTTTGAGAATATTGAACTCTTTTCTAAAGGGTCAAAGGAATCATTCATATCTCTGCTTCCTTTGCAATTTTCATGCTCTAACAACATTGTTTTGATAACAGGTAATCATTACGACAATATTATTTTGTTCTGATGTCCATCAACCTTTCACATTAGGAGATTCAGACACAGAGATATTTTAAAGGACTAACTTCTTGCTTACACCAGGGAGTATTATTTATAGAGGTTAATGCACTGTGCTATCTCATGGGATCTCTATGCCTTCGGTTGTGATAGAATATATTTTTTTCTTCAGAGATCTTCATTTTAAATGTAATAGATCATGTCTTGAAAGATTAACCCTTTGACTCCCATGAGTTATCAAGACAGAATTTCTCCTTACTTTATCTATACAATATCATACAAACAAGTGATGAGAATAAAGAAAAATATTAATTATGGGATTAGTTATTGATCTGATACTAAATTCTCCAAACTAACATGATAAGAATCATTTGGCAGACAGTAAGGAGAATTAGAAATGAGATCTTAGGAGTTAAGGGGTTAACAAAGATTCAGATTACACAGTAAACCATTGATAAATTTCCTTGAATTGGAGATGTTGTCTTGAGTTAAAGTCTGGGTAAGTGTTTGTCGATTCCTTCTTTTAGATATTATTTAAAATGGAATCTTTTTTAACCCTTCAACTCCCAGATCAAATTTGTAATTCTCCTTACTGTCAACCATACAATTTTTATATTATTCAGAGAATTTAGTATTGCATCAATTAATCCCCAAATTGATATTTTTCTTTATTCTTGTCAC